ATTGAGTCTTTGCCAGAAGGCACACTCCTGAAGCACTCAGTTTTCTTTTTGGTCAAGATGCGCTTTCTAATCTCTGTGCTTTTCCTCATACTATTCCATATGCCAAGATATCCTTCCTCTCTCTTTTCTCCATCCATAAAATTTCTATGCAACCTTCAATGCCCAACTTAAATTTCCCTCTTTCATGAGACCCTTCTGAAACTCCCTGGTTGATAATTACCCTGCTTATCCTAGAGTTTCACATACCACTTTGGTGGAAGTACTCTTATCCTTCAGTATTAACAATATCTGTTTATGTGTGAAACTGTCTACTAGACTATAAGCCACTATAACTGTGGAAACAGATAAAGATCAACTAGTGAAAACATATTTGCAAATTTGGCACACAAAACAGAACTTTGCAGACCTAGTGTTTTTTTTTCTTTTTCCCCCAAAAGATTTTCAATTACTTCATTAAATATTTCTCATTTATATGTAAAAAAAATTTAACTTTCAATTTTTAAAATTTTTAGTTCCAAATTGTCTCTCTCCCTTTTGTCCCTCCTCATTGAGAAGGCAAGCAATTTTATTATATATTATATATGTACCACGTTACAAAAGAAAACACAGACCAAAAAAAAAGAGAAAGTTTTAAAAAGTATGTTTCGACCTGCATTCAGACTCCATCAGTTCTTTCTCTGGAAATGGATAACATTTTTCATTATAAATTCTACAGAATTGTCTTAAATCATTGTACTGATCAGAATAACTAAGTCATTCATAGTTGATAGTCTTACAATACTGCTGTTACTGTGTACAATTGTCTCCTGGTTCTGCTCACTTAATTTTGCATCAGTTAATATAAATCTTCCCAAGTTTTTCTGAAAACATCTTGCTCATAATTTCTCATAGCACAATGATATCCCCTTATAATCATATACCACAACTTGTTCAGCCATTTCCCAGTTGACGGGCATCCCCCTCAACTTCCAATTCTTTGCAAATACAAAAAGAGGTACAACAAATATTTTTGTACATATAAGACCTTTTCTTTTTTCTTTGTTTTCTTTGGGATACAAACCTAGTAATGATATTGCTGAGTCAGAGGGTTTGTACAGTTTTATAGCCGGTAGAGCATAGTTCCAAACGGCTCCCCAAAAAGGTTGGATCAGTTAACAAATTTTCCAACAGTAAGTGCATTAGTATCCCAATTTTTCTACATCCCTTCCAACATCTGTCATTTTCCTTTTCTCTCATATTAACTAATCTGATAGGTAGTACCTCAGAGTTGTTTTAGTTTGCAGTTCTCTAATCAATAGTTATCTAGAGCATTTTTATATGACTATAGATAACTTTGATTTCTTCATCTGAAAACTGCCTATTCATATCCTTTGACCATTTATCAATAAGGGAATGTAAAATTTGGCTCAGTTTTCTATATATTTGAGAAATGAGGCCTTTATCAAAGGCTGTAAAACCTAGTAGTTTGTTTTTCTTTTAAGTATTCACAATGCTATTCATTCATTCATTTATTCAACAAATATATGAGTGCTTTTTATACTTAGGCACAATTATTCCAATAGTATTTTTGAAATTATTCTTTGGTTATACGATGTTAGAATCTGTTTAGGAGTATACATGTATTCTACTTTGTTTAACTGCAATTCCTACTGTGAAAATTTACTACATCATACCTGATTTATATCATTGTTGTAGAGGACAAGTGAAAGAGACTCAAAGTGAAAATCAAATTGGAGAATGACATTTTGATTGTCAGAAGGATTCAAGTCTGTCATATCTTGTTCAGGGGTATGCAACAGTGAACCTGAAAAAAATTTTAAACATTTTTTTTTATTTACAAGTACAAGAAAATTTAGGGACTTGATTTTTCATTATTAGAATATTTTTTAAAGTTCTATATGTTAAGAGACTTGATAGAAAACAGGATCTTTTCCAAACTAACCTAGTATTCAGCAAAGTGGCATTGACAAAATCAGTCTCTCACTATAAAGGGCACAACTTCTGTTGACCTTGACCAAGTCTTTTAATATCTTTGTAATAGCAGTTTTTCTATTTGTAAAATGGGGATTATAATGGTTCCTTTACGTACTTTATAGGTTTTAATCAGAAGAAGAAGGTGGTATTATTTTGAAAGAACTATTAGTATGCATTTTCTATTGGCACTTCCACATATATACATAGAATTTAAAGACTTCAAGAGATCATCTAGTAGTATCCTCCTTTAGGTAGAACTACAACTAAATCATATTCTTGATCCTACCTCCAAAACATTTTTTATATTTACTTTCCCAAGCACTTCCACCAGCATCCCTCTAATACAGTTATTCATTACAATCTGCCTAGATTATTGCAATAGCCTCATTATCTTTCCACTCTTCTTCCAAATTTCCCTATATCTGTCAAAAGCACTATCATTCTTTATATCTTCCAAGTTTGTAATGCTGGCACTTTCCTTAATTCCTTACTCTTCTTCACATCATACATACAATGAGTTGCTAAATCTTGCTGTTCCTACTTCCTCAACATCTCTCATATCTGACCCTTTCACTCTACTCACACATTCACCAACTTAGGTCAAGCCTTCATCACCTTTGTCCTGGATGACTATAATGGTCTAACTGGTCTCCCCACCTCAAGTTTCTCCCCAAGCCAGTCCATCTTCCACACTACTGGCAAAGTGATTTTCTACAAGTGCAAATAGGACCAAGGCACTCCACTACTTCCTAAACTCTAGTAGCTCCTATTACTTCTACAATACACTATTAACTTTTTTTTCTTTGGCTTTTAAAGCCCTTCACCATATGGTCTCAACCTGTCTTTCCAGCCTCCTTTTACATTACTATATATTATTTCCCTTCCTAAACTCAGTAATCCAGCCAAATTGGCTTTCTCTTTATTTGGCAATACAGACTGAATTCAAGTTGGCAATTCAGACCAAAACAAGGTAATAATTTGCAGTACTGAGGGATTAAATATAAAGAAGACTGAACTGTTGTTATACAGCAGAACAAATCATCAAACAAAATCATGAAACAACTTTTCCTGAAGATCTTTCAAATTTATTAAGTGTTTACTATGTGCCAGGAACTATACTAGGTGCTGGGGAAACAAATACAAAGAATGAAAACCTACTCAAGGAGCTTACATTCTAATTGGGAAGAACAGGATATATCATTTTAATAGCATAAAACTTCTCTAAGACCTTTGGGAAACGGTATAAGTTTATTCAAAAGAAATATAAACAGAAAACAACACAAGTGAATACAAAACAGTCTAGTACAGAGAGCACTAGCAATTGGGGGCAGGGGAGGAAGACAAAAAAGGCTTAATGCAGGAAGTGGTACATGAATTGTAGCACGGAAAAAGAGAGGAATTCTGAGGCAACAATGAGGACAGAGTGCATCTGGGGCAAGGAGAATGGTCACTGAAAAGGCACAAAGATAGGAAACAGAATGCCATGCATGAACATGAATGAAAAGATAATGAGTTCTATTCTGGAGGTGTTGAATTTAAGATATCTGCAGCACTTCTAATTTGAAATGATCAACAGACAATTAATGATGTGGGGGTAAAACTCAGGAGAGAGACTAGGGCTGGACAAACAGATTTGTGAGGCATCTGCCTGATGAAGTTACTAAGACAGACTGTAGAGAAAGAAGAGAAGAGAGACCAGTTAGAAGGTGGGATATGGGCTCAGATTCCTAAAATCTAGCCACTACTTAGATTCTTATAATTGAGCCACTGCTGGGATTCTTATAATCTAGCCACTGCTCAGATTCTTAAAATCTAGACTAATGTTCAGACTCCTTAAGAGACTGCCCAATATGACAGATGTTCTAATAAACTTTGTCTTTGGTTGAAAGAAGGCGTGGGTCGAATTCTTTTGGGCAGGACCTGCATGTTGTGATTTTGGGGTCCCAGCACCCGTGAGCCCCTAAACCGGATCATTTTGGTGGTCCATAAGGGGAAATTGCCTAACCCCAAGTTATTCTCCAGTCAAGACTGGAAGGTATGTAAGCCTCCTCTCCCTCCCTCTCTTGCTCTGCTGTTGGGGTCGCTCTCCAAGCACCAAGGCTTGGAGGTGCTTTTTGGGCAGACAGTTATGAGGCTGTCTCACAATCAGCCTGATACTCTCAGGCTCTCAGTCTACTGGGTTGGTTCAAGGCCATGGACCTGGGTACACCTCCCACAGTATAGAGGACAAGGACGGACGCCTTATCTGGAAGTGTATGCCCAATTCTGTCAGTTCTCTCGGCACTAGAGAATTGGAGAAAAACTGCAGTTGCTTTTTGGTTCCCTGAGAATTACTCCCTTCCCTCTACACCCCTGAATTCTCCTTCATGGAGGTTACAGGGGAAAGTTAGAACAGCTAAAAATATCTTGGCAGATTCTGGAGGTTTTGTGATTGATCATTAAGGAGTTTAGAACTCCTCCTTACAAACTGGTCACTCTTTTCTCCCACTCCCTTCACTTGAGTCAAGAGGATATCTGTTAACCCCTCTCACAGGAAAAGAGAATTTCACTGTTTACCCCTCACTTTTGATTTCGCTCTCCCTCACCTGGGGAAAAGGGGGGGGGGGGCAGCAGCTACAGCATGGGCCCCACTGTCAATTGCCTTGGGCTCTGAGGCAACCTTTGCCTGGAAGCATAACCCAGGTTCAGTATATCCTGCTCAAGGTAAAGAAGCTGGCCTCTGAACTGGGGTAAACATGCTCTTTTAAATTTGTAGTTTTAACTTTTAAAGATGAGATGTTGATTCTCTGTGTAAAGTAATTTGTAAGTGTATTTAACAAAACTGAAGTCACCTGATTGGTAATAGGTTTGTTTCAAGTTTCAAATTGGTGAACTTTCTATATCAGTTATGTCATGCAACTTTTCATAATTTGGTTACCACTAAAATAATTTAGCTATTGTTGGTTATTGTTTTAATGTAAACTAGCCAAAAAGTTTGTTTGGGTTATGTATGGCTCGCTGAGAATTTGCAAGTGTATATAAATCTCTAGTGATTGGCTTTTTACATTAGGATAAATTTAAGTTTGAGATGTAAATCCTGGAAAAGTTTTTCCTAAGCTGTGATTAGTAAAACTTGCTGTTTGAGGTAAAAGCTCATAGGATTTTATTTTGAGTTGTCTGATGGGTTATAATCCATCAATAATCAATAATCCACCATCTGAGAGAAATGCCACAAGCTACTCAGAGAAGGTCATACTGGTGGGAAGTCAGCACTGGGAAAAGATGAGAGGACAATTTTGGCCTCAGTCTAAGATGGGATCCTCTGGCTCAGTATCCCCATTATGTTCCTTTGAAAGGGAATGTTACCCACCTGGCTATTCCTGAGTCTGGCTATGAGGTAGATTTGATACTGCATGGTTGGAAAACTGAATTCAAATAGAGCTAAGGATGTTTTATCCTGTTATATTTGGGCCGTGCAGTCTTTTCTGTCATATTTGTGTCTTCCAAACTACAGGCCATTTGGGTACCAGCCAATGTCCCCCCATTGTTCCCTGGATGTAACTTGTGTTTAGTTCCAGTCAACCTCCTCTTTGGGACCCCCTCGAGACAGGGACAGCTCTACGCCCCTTGCCAGGAGGAAGCAGTTTCAGAAGCCAAGACCTTCACCTCTTACTCCAAAAGAATTTGGGTCCCATTTGTTTGAGGGGTGAATGATGGGGTTGGGATCTAGACCCCAGAAAGGAAAAACCCTGGACTTTCCCACTTGGCCAAATCTCTGGAGTTCACCTGAGGCTATAATCCCATCAACTGGTCTTTCACTGTGGCTACACCCAATCTTGTCTTCCCTCCCTATGGCCCCAAGCCACTTCCCACCCTTGGTAATTCTATTACCTCATGGACTACTTGGCCAGTCCTAGATCCCTCCCACAGTCTTTCTGTATATAAAGTCCATCTCATCTCCCTTAAGATGCTCAGATTCCTAAAATCTAACCACTGCTTAGATTCTTATAATCTAGCTTCTGCTGGGATTCTTATAATCTAGCCACTGCTCAGATTCTTAAAATCTAGACTAATGTTCAGACTCCTTAAGAGTCTGCCCAATATGATGGATGTTCTAATAAACCTTGTCTTTGGCTGAAAAAAAAAAAAGAAGGTGGGATATGGAAGGTGGAAGCAAGAAGACTTGTTAAGAGCATACATTAAGTATCACAAATTAAGAGCTGGAAGGAGAGAGGATTCTGGGAAGATGCTGAAGTAGGTCAGAAAACTTCAAGTTCTCAAGATTTTCCTAGAGAAAACAGCACTTGAGGGAGAACATAGGGCAGTGAAGATAAATAAGAGTGGGGGCAGAACAGGGGGTCCTCCTGGGAAAATCAGAGAAGATCTGAAGAAAAATTCCAAGATGAGGTTTCCTCCCTTTGAAGGGTAAACACCTCCAGGATAGGGACAGCTTAAAGAACAAGTGGCAAGCCCTGGGGTTAGCTGGGCTGGGAGGTTGCCTAGGCCTCAGTCACAGAACTTTTATCCCCAGGACAGTGAGGAGAGTTGGGCATCTGAGCTACGGAACATCTAGGGAACCTCTGCTGACAAGGAATGCCAGACCCAGCTGTTCTGTACAGTCACAGCTGGGGCGAGAAGGAACCAGCAAATATCAGGTGAGTGCAGAAGAAGTATCTCTGAAAACAGCTGCACAAAATCCCTGAAGCTTGGGACAGTACATTCTCCACATTGGAAGCAGACCCCTACCTTAACAAAGAGTTTGAAAGTCAAATAATTGTCTGGGATCATGAGCAAACTGCACAGAAAAAGTCAGACCATAGAATATTACTTTGGTGACAAAGAAGATCAAAACATGCAACCAAAGAAGATAACAAAGTCAAAAGCTCCTACATCCAAAGTCTCGAAGAAAAATATGAATCAGTCCTAAACCATGGAAGAGCTCAAAAAGAATTTTGAGAAGCAAGGAAGAGAAGTAGAGGAAAAACTGAGTGATGCAAGAAAATCATGAAAAACAAGTTAACAGCTTGCTAAAGGAGACCCCAAAAAAAAAATACTAAAGAAAATAACGCCTTAAAAAATAGCCTAACCCAAATGGCAAAAGAGGTCCAAAAAGCCAATGAGGAGAAGAATGCCTTCAAAAGCAGAATTGGCCAGATGGAAAAGGAAGTCCAAAAGCTCACTGAAGAAAATATTTCCTTAAAAATTAGAATGGAGCAATTGGAAGCTAGTGACTTTATGAGAAATCAGGATACCGTAAAATAAAACCAAAAGAATGAAAAAATAGAAAACAATGTGAAATATCTCACTGGAAAAACAACTGACCTGGAAAATAAGATCCAGGAGAGATAATTTAAAAATTATTGGACTACCTGAAAGCCATGATCAAAAAAAGAGCCTAGATATCATCTTTCAAAAAATTATCAAGGAAAACTGTCCTGATATTCTAGAAGCAGAGGGTAAGATAGAAATGGAAAGAATCCACCCATCACCTCCTGAAAAAGATCCCCAAAGGAAACTCCTAGGAATACTACAGTCAAATTCCAGAGTTCCAAAGTCAAGGAGAAAATATTGCAAGCCGCCAGAAAGAAACAATTCAAGTATTGTGGAAACACAATCAGGATAACACAAGATTTAGCAGCTTCTACATTAAGGGACCACAGGAGTTGGAATATGATATTCCGAAGGGCAAAGGAGATAGGATTACAACCAAGAATCACCTACCCAGCAAAACTGAGTATAATCCTTGAGGGGAAAAAAAAGGACATTCAGTGAAATAGAGGACTTTCAAGCATTCTTGATGAAAAGGCGAAAGCTGAATAGAATATTTGACTTTCAAATACAAGATTTAAAAGAAGCATGAAAAGGTAAACAGGAAAGAGAAATCATAAGGGACTTATTAAAGTTGAACTGCTTACATTCCTACATGGAAAGATGGTATTTGTAACTCATGAGACCTTTGTTAGTATTAGGGCAGTTGGAGGGAAAAAAATATATGGATAGATAGATAGAGGGCACAGGATGAGTTGAAGATAATTTGAGGGACGAGAGAGGATTATATTGGGAGAAGGAGAAAGGGAGAGGTAGAATGGGGTAAATTACCTCATATAAAACAGACAAAGCTTTTACAGTGAAGGGGAAGTGGGGGAAAATGAGAGGGAATGAGTAAATCTTATTCTAATTGGATTTGGCTTAAGGAGGGAATAACATACATACTCAATTGGGTATGGAAATCTATCTTACCCCACAGGAAAATAGAGGAGAAGGGGATAAGACAGGAGGGGGAATGATAGAGGAGGGCAGACTGGGGGAGGGGGTAATCAGCAGCAAACACCTCTGAAGTAGGACAGGGTCAAAAGAGAGAATAGAATAAATGTGGGGGTGGGATAGGATGAAGGGAAATATAGTTAGTTTTTCACAATATAACTACTATGGAAGTGTTTTGCATGACTACACATGAATAACCTGTATCGAGCATCTCAATGAGGGTGGGTGGGGAGGGAAGAAAGGAGAGAATTTGGAACCCAAAGCTGTAAAAACAAATGTTAAAAATTGCTTTTACATGTAACTGGGCAATATGCCCTACAGGAAAATGGAAAGAGAAAGGGATAACAGAAGGGGGCAGGGGGTGTTAGAAGGGAGGGCAGATTAAAGGAAGGGATATTCAGAATGCATGCCTTCTTGGGGTGGAGGGAAGGGTGAGATGGGGAGAAAATTTAGAACTCAAAATCTTGTGGAAATGACTGTTGAAAACTAAAATTTAATTAATTAAAAAAAGAAAAGAAAAAGAAAAACAACTGAACTGGAGAACAGATCAAGAAGAAAAAACATAAGAATTATTGGACTACCTGAAAGCTATGATCAAAAAAAGAATCTTGATACAATAATACAAGAAATAATTAAAGAAAACTGTCCTGAAGCATTAGAACAAGAAGGGAAAGTAGAAATAGAAAAAATCCACTGATTACCACCTAAAAGAGATCCTATGAGGAAAACTCACAGGCATATTACAGTCAAATTCTGAAACCCCTGGCTCAAGGACAAAATATTACAAGCAACAAGAAAAAAAAAAACAATTCACATATAGCAGTACCACGATTAGAATCACAAAAAAACCTAGCAGCAGCAATACTAAAAGACCACAGGTCTTGGAACACTATATATAGAAGAACAAAAAACTGGGCTTCCAGCTCAAAATATCATAGCCAGTAAAGCTAAGAATAATTCTGAATGGGGAAAAAAAATGGACATTTAATGAACTGTCAGACTTTTAAGACTTTGTTTAAAAAAAAAAAACCTTGAACTTAATAGATTTGACATACAAGAGCCAAGAAAGATATAAGGAACATACCAATGACTAATTACAAGGGACTCAGTAAGGATAGACTGTTTGCCCTTTTTTGTATGTAAAATGTAAAACCTATGTCTAAGATTGTTATTGGTAATTAGGTAGTTTATTAGAAAGATGGGGGTATGATATGACTTCAAAAAGTAAAACCGTTCAAGAAGAGCTAAAAGAGTAATTATCTTATACAAATGAGATGTGAGAGGAAGAACCAATACAGAGGAATTAGATGGGGGAAGGAGGCTGTTAGTTCTGGAAATCTACTTTCATCAGGTATGGATTCAAGAGGAAAAAATACATATAAATCTAGAAGAGTATAAAAGTCTTCTAAATTTAGAAAGAAATAAAACTCTAAGGGGATGGAGGGGGGAGACAGGATAAAGGCGGGATCTTTAGAGAGGAAGGTGAGGGAATAGGTTAAAAGGGGGATATATAGAAGCGTGTTTAGATCAATGGGAATGGGAGGATAAGGGAGGGATTTGGGGGAGGATAAGAGAGGGATCTTTAGAGGGGAGGGTGATGGAACAGGTCAAAAGGATGTATAAAAGGGTGTTTAGATTCTTGGAAATGGAAGGATAAGGGAGGGATTACTAGTGGTGGGGTAGGTTAAGTAATAGAAGGGCAAGGTGGTGGGTAGAAGTAAAGTAGAGGAATTAGGAGATATAGGGAAAAAAGATATGCACGAACATAAAAACAAAGATTAGGAGTAGAATCTCTTAGGGAAAGTACATGTTTATATACATGTGTATGTATGTATATATTATGTGTATATATCAATATCTATATATAAATAAATCCACACTTAATTGTAGACTGGGGGGGAGGGAAAGGGGGGAAAAAAGAACAAAGTGAAAAGTACACAGCAGAGAACAAAAGAAAGCCTACAAGGAAGCAAAGAAAAGATGGACAGCTTTCAACATAACATGCAGTATTTAATATATAGACTTTCTTGAAAGAGAAAGTTATTGCTATATATTCTGAATCCTCTCCCACATTCTGCTGTGCATATGACATGTTTATTTTCTTTCCTTATTGTGTATTTAAGTTTAATATTTAGGTTTATAATAAAAAAAAGAGCCAGAGGCCACCCAGTGCAACCCCCTAACTTAACAAACAAGGAAACCGAGGGTCACAGAAGTTAAGTGACTTGTCCTAGGTTACAAAGTTATTATATATCAAAGGAAAGATCTGAAGCCAGATCTCGCTGACTCCAAATCCAGCACCCTATCTATAAAACTATCTTGGAAGTAATTCTTGAACCATGAAGAAAAAGTTTAACTGTACTCTGCACAATCTGTTTAAAAAAACAGGAATACAATACATTTTAGAAAGATTTCCATCAAACTCGATCAATAAGAAAATGATGCATGCTTAACATAATAAGCACTAATTATGTGAAAAAATATCTGATTGTCCCCAATGACATCAGATAAATGAAGTGCCACTTTCTTATACCACACTCTTTTGGTTAGTTCATCATCTAAGTACATGTGACTAAGATCTTTCTTCCTGTATTTGCACATTTCTTTTCTCTTCTTGGTAACTAAACACATTGAACTTAAAATAAACTGGAAACTATAGAAACAATGCTACCAAATTTTTAAAACTTAATTTAAAAAATGTTCCATTAACTTTAGCAAAAAATCTTTACTTTTTACCTCTCACATGATCAGAATCATCCTGAGATCTTCCCATTTTCACTCTTGTACCCTCTTGAGGAACTGGTTGTACAGAACTCGGCTGTAAAGATCCCTCTCCAAGATTTTCCATTAAAATTTTCATTAGGATAGTTAAATCTTCTTCACTGAGCGCAATCTAAAAATCACCAACAACTTATGTGTAAAAGATAATTAGAACCACAAAATTATAAAATAAAAAATCTTTTATTCACCAAGTTATTAAATCATCAGCTGTTTACATATGAAAAAGAGAATGAAGGATCAACAGGAGACAAAGAGGACTACAAATTATGTTTTAAGACAATCGAGCAGTATTCAAATAAGACTTCTTTGTTTTCTTAATCACAGTACTTAAATATATTGCAACAAGAGAAAATTGGAAATTGTGGAAAAATAATATGCCATCATTTACAGTTAACTTATTAAGCCCTTTTCGGACATCACCACTTCGAAGATACGTCACCATGAGAGTTACACAATGATAAACACAAAACTATATGTGCTGGTTTCCATATTACTTTTTCCCTATACTTGCCTGCATTGGTTTCAGGTTTCCTTTTATTTTCATCCCTGGAATTTGTGTATACCACTCTGCTGCTAAATTTCGTTGAATGGACCAATGCATATTTACTGGTTGTAAAATTTCAATGTCAGGTATTGGAGATCCAACCTGCAAAATAGTTCTGATAAGAGAATAACATTTTTAGAAGTATGAAACATTTACATGAAATTGGTTATAGTGGATAACAGTTTTACTATTATTTGTTCATGAACACAGATTAATACTTGTATTCTTATAGACTACAATACTTATCAAAACATGGAAGGAGTAAGCTTTCTGACTCTACAAGTTGATTAGCCTTATTTTTCAAAAGACAATCATGTTAACATTAATGTAGGTTCCACAAACCACAAATATCCTAAGATATGGGTACTAGGTTTTTTATCCTTATCAATGTATAAACATATGACTTGAAAAAGCTAATAGTAAAAAGAAGCGATGTCATAGAAAAGATGCTATCAACGTAGAAAAACACTGCTGAAACTGAAGGACAGAGAAAGCTAATCCACAATCTATTCCATGAACAGTATACTAGAAACAACATCAAACTACGAGGAAAAATATATCAAATCTTAAAGACTTGTCATGCACAGTAAGTAATGCTACATTACCTGTCTTACTTCTGTTAGCTATGGTGCAACAGTAACAACTGGCACCACGTTTTTATTTTAACCTAGCCTCCTCCTTAACCTGTTCAACTCCCCAAACAAAAATGTTCATACCACTCCACAGAGCTAACAAACTAATCTATATTTTCAGCAATACTTTAGCCATTTCTAGAATATATTTTCAATTTAAAAGGACTGGAAACAAGAAATGAAAACTCTTTTAAGGGACCCATATTAACTCATTGTTGGTTAATATACTACTATCAAAAGCTATCTATAACAGCAAAATCAACCTAAGATCAGTTTTCCTTTAAAAAAGGTCTAAAATTGTTGAGATCAATTCTGTGGAGTGTTCAGTGGCCTGAAGGACTAAAATAAGCAAATATCTTCTGAGCAAAGAACTCATTAATTTGGGTTAGTCGCTGTGGAAGAAATATATTTGGGATCAAAAGAAAAATGTTCACTTTCTGGCTCTTTTTATTTGCTCGATAAGCAAATCACTTCACCTCTCTAGGCCTCAGTTTCCTCATCTGTACAACAAGAAAGTTTAACTAACTGACCTCTAAGGTCCTTTCCAATTCCAAACCTACCACCCTATTACTAAATAACCTTATAGGCACAATCACTGAATTGAGTTTCTCCATAACATTTGTACAATTCTATGGACTGATGCTGATTGAAAGTTGTCTTCTCACTGATCCAATATAATGGGCACAACTTTTTTTTTATTATTTTTAGTGATTTTTAATAAAGTTGTTATTTTAACAGGCAAGTTTCAAACACTAGAAAAACCTGGATGCAAATTCTAGAAACTCTTTTGGAATTGCTATAGTCTTTTCAACCTTTTATGTTCTTTCACACTCTATTTTTGTCCTATATTTATTTGTGATTATGACCTATTCCCTGCTACAGTGTGGAACAGAAGTGACACTAAGTTCTTCAAGGCTATGCCAATAGAGCCCACACAAAGGTGGAAAGTGACTAAGAATTCCTTGGTAGACTGTATGTCAGTGGCCATAACATGATGGATTTTTTAGTCATAGTAACTCAAAGATTAAGTCATGGAGAGGTTCTGATCTCTATCAGGGAAAGGCGTACCCAACCAATGAAATCAGAGACCCTGAAGTACTGATGTCTAATTCTTTCTACCAGACTGTAAATTCTATGAGGAAAAGAATTATATCTTATGTGTCCTTGTACATCCCGCAGCACATATCATTATATTATATATTAAATGTCTGAAGAATGCAATTAATTTCACTAAATACAATGACAAGAAAGTTATTAAAGCACATCAAATGATTCTGTGGTAAGAAAAAAAGGATAAATAAATTGTTGCAATATCTTACCCAAAAAAAATTCTAGAATGCATTTCATCAAGTAATACATAATTCAATTACATGGGGAAAAATTGTATTTATACCTTGATAACTTCAACTGAGTGAGCTGTATATCCATTTTGTCAATGACCGGAGGAAGAGAATGCAGCTCCACAGGGACCAAGTTAAATTTGTTTTCAACTCTGATTAAACCTAGATCTGCTAAAAGAGCATTAGAGGATATTGAAGACTGAGGGATAATAATAACTGGTGCTTTCAGGTTGATGTCCATGGAAAGACGGAAACTCTTTTGAGCGAAATCTTTTACACTAGAAGCAGCCTTCTCTGCAGCGTGGGCTGTGGCAGTACTCACGGCCTCTTTAGCTTTCTGGAAATTGTTGAGGAAGCTCTGTTGGAAGAAAGACTATCATCTCAGAGAGTAAAAAACAAGCACATTACACAAAAAGTGAAGAAATGAACAATGTGCATAATAAAAAGAACAAATATTAACCACTGATGAATTTAGTGATTTTTTAAAAAATCAAAATCAAAAATTTTAAGTAGTGAATGGAGAAGGAAATAAAGCCTCCTCAGGAAAAAAGTGGCTCTAGCAGCTTATAAAGTTTTTTTTAAACAGATATATGGAAGCTGTCCCTTCTCATACTTTTAAGTTGTTGATGAGGTAGGTACTGATATGCATTGGTCAAGGGAGTTGACTAGAAATTCCTCATATCCATTAAATCATGGGGGTCTGGACCATAGCCATCCTTCCTGAATCATTGAAATGTGATTTTAGAGAATGGGAATCCCTGGCACTGAACATTTTTCATTTTTAATAAACAGCTACATAAACAACTGGAATAATGCCTTTAACGGGCAAGTAAAAGTCTCTCATATATTTGTCTCTTTGTTTAGACCAAAACTTATAACTATAAGGAACTTCAAATGAGGAAACTCCCTCTACCAATGTAGAATGGCACAAGCTCTCCAACTTATTTTTTACAGAGATGCGTAGAGCACTGATAGCTAGTATACTTCATAAGTGGGGCTTAACAATGTTAAATATAGGTCTTTTTTGATTACCTTGGGTTCAAACCTGCTCAGAAAAGTTGTTTAGGTACCCTTCCTCCCCCCAAAAAAACTATGAATTGAAAAGAAACTTACCAGAAGAGACATGAAGAATTTATGAAGATAAACAATTTGGATGCAGCCCACTTTAAGACTTAGTTTACCATCTACTTTAGACATATCAGTATAGGCTTTTCCCTCTGTGGCATCTGGATAAAGAGTCATTTGGAACCTAAACACCTCATCTCCCACTATAGAGACAGCCTAGAAGTAGACATTAATTGTGTTATTATATCAGTTTAGTCTTGTGAGCTTTATTCCTCTAACAGGAGTATGATTTTCTTGCAATGGCAAATTTTATAAATCAGGAGAAGATAGAAGACAAATGAGACAACTAACATTTTATTTTTAAACGAGGTATTAATAAAAATAGAGAAAAGAGAGTGTGGCATTTGGGAGATACACACACACATGCACGCATGCACTTCACTGCATTCCACAGTAGATTAAATACTGAACATTAGCCAGTCCCCTGTTAAGGATTTATTTTTATCATACGAGGGAAGGCAGTGGCAGTACTGTGAGGAGTGCTAACTCTAATATACAAGGGCCTCAATTCAAATCTTGCCTCTGACACTTACTCTCTGTGTCACCATGGTCAAACCATTTAACTGCCTTGAGGCTTGGTTTCATCATCTGTAAAGATGAAGACAGACAGACTGATAGATACAGACATACATACTTACATTTTATTGTTGTTCAATCATTTTTCAGTCATGTCTGACTCTTCATGAACCCATTTGGGATTTTCTTGGTAAAGATGCTGGAGTAGTTTGCCATTTTCTTCTCCAGCTCATTTTATAGATGAGGAAACTGAAGCAAACAGGGTAAAGTGACTTGTCCACAGTCACACAGCTAGTAAGTGTTTAAGGCCAGATTTGAACTCAGGAAGATTATTCTTCCTGACCCTAGGCCTGGCATTCTAACCACTGTGCCACCTAGTTGTCCATACATACATACAAACATACATACATACAAACATACATACATACATACATATGTGTGTGTGTGTGTGTGTGTGTGTGTGTGTGTGTGTGTGTGTATATACACACACACGCATATGGTTGTATCTCCCAAATGACTTTTTAAAAATAAAATTGTTCAATAATTCTTTCCATCTGTGGATCATTTCAGTTATTTACCTGGTCATAAGTTACTTTCATATATTGTTTCTTATTAAGTTGTTTCCCTAATCCAAATTACAAAGAATAAATTTTAATTTTAAATTTAAATTTTTTTAAAAATCACCTTTTTGTGAATGGACCCTGGATCAGCATTTGTAACTATGATATCTTTGAGTCTGGCAAAAACTTCTGTCTCCTTCGATTGCACAGAAACAGATGCATCCATTCCTGTTGGAAACAATTAGTTCTCTCATTTACTTTGAAGTCCAACACAAAGTAAAGCTAACAATATTTAAGTAAAGCATTATCCTATTAAGATATAGAGTAATAAAAACAATTCTCTTTGTTAAGAGAATGATTTTTTAATGAACCAACTTTAAGTGATCATAATTATAAATACTACTACCACTAAGGTGAAAGAGCATCTTCAAATTAAAAATAAGCATCTTAAATAGATAAGTGAAATATATTAGCAAGTACCTTTAGAATGTTGTAGACAATCAGGTTAATAATGTGATACAGTTTTGTTCCATTAGATTCTAAATTACTAGAGGGCAAGGACTGTCTTTAGCTTTTTTATGTATCCCCAGTGCTTAGCACAGTGCCCAGCACATAGAAGGGGCTTAATAAATGTTTCTTGATTGATTGATTGGTCTATTATAGATAATGAAGAATTAATGTTTAACACTAGCCTAAGGAAATGGCTAATGTTCAATGAAAACTAAATACTAGAAAAAACTCACTAAATGGCTTTCATAACTGACCTCATAATTTTAAATCACTTCCAACTGAAAATAAACATTTCGTTGCATGTTCCATTAGGATGAATACTGAACATTAGCCAGTCCACCATTAAGAATTTATTTTATCATACTAGGGAACACAGTAGTAGCACTGTGGGGGGGAAATGCTAACTCTAAAGTTCAAGGGCCTCCATTAAAATCCTGCCTCTGACACTTATTCCCTGTGTCACTGTGGTCAAACAATTTAACTGTCCTGAGCCTTGGGGTCTTCATCTGTAAAATGAAAGAACTGAATGAGAGAGCCTTCAAGGCCCTTTCTAAGCATGACTTCAGATCTATGGCCCCACGAAAACCTTTATGTCGTCACCGACATTTTTTGCCATCACACACTTAATAATTAAAAATCCTTATCCAAAAACAGAAAATCTCCCTTGATTGCTTAACATTTTAGGACAAGTAGCACCATCTGAATTTAAAACAGCTACACAGCCTTTAAACCACAGTGGTAAATTAAGGATTAGAGTCAAAGTAAAAGCCACCAAATTACAAAAGACAACTAAGGTCATAAATCTTAATGTAAATATCCAAAAACATCCTAAGTATGTGACTGCCTCAGCAAACTGTTATACTTGACAGACATTCAAATATTTATTAGGCTATATACAAGCTATATTTGACTTTCAGATATTTTAATCAAAAGATGTTTTCTTTAGCTATACTTATTTTCTCTGATCCTGCACTAAGCCTACAATAAGGATATCATCAAACAGGTCTCCGAAAAGGAATTCTCATGAAGATGATCTACAACTTCCTGGACAGAGCAAGAAAAACATACAAATTGAAAAATATGACCATCTTCACACATTATAAATCTACTATAGGTTTTACATTTATGAAGCAGTAAATCACTCTTGTCTATATTTACAATACCTCTCAAACTGCTCAATATAGATAATACATGTGAATGGTTATATTCAAGAGTATGTAGATATTATCATAAAAAGATGATTTCTATTAGAGTCATCAATAAGGCTTTAGAAATCCTTCCAGACTTGACATATACTAACAACCTAAAAAGCATAAAATTTTTAGAAGTTATGTTTTGTACTGAATATAATATTTCTGCTCCAATTCAAAATGTCTCAAAAAGGAATGAAGATAACATCATGACCACTGCCTGACAAATTGTAAGCTATAAAAATGGCACAAGTTGTTGTTTTAAAATTATATCTGTCAGTCTTAAAAATGTAACTAGAATATCTACATAATTTCACTGCTTCATTAGAAAACTATTTGAAATAACTAGGAAAAAATTCTCATATTACTTGTCACCCTAAACAAATATATTTCTAAAATTACAATGTATATATGTAAAAAAAATTTAAAAGTAATTCATTAACTACTCATAACATATCCACCACACTGTTAACTTAGAAGCAAAGTAACAGCCATCAGATTTCAAAATAAAACTTCTTACATACATTTTTAAAAATAGAAGACTATATCTCAGATCAAAGTAAGGTGACTGATGTAATTACTTGCCTTGTACTCTAATATCTGCAATGTTACACTTCTGATCACAGATAAAGATATTAAATGCATTCAGTTCTGCAGTGACTTTCAGATCAAAAACATCTTGATGGGAAATGTTGTCAGATACTGAAAAGTTACCAAAACATTATGATTAGCAAATTATAATTATGATGTGACAAAGAAATGTAATCTCAAACTAAATGGAATAATAAGTACCTTTAGTGCCATGAATAATCAAAACAGCGAAATGAAAATAAGGTCCTTGAAGTCAGGACCAGTTTCATTTTTGTCTATCTCAGTACTTTGAACGTAACAAGAGCAAAAGCAATCCCTAATTAAGCATTTAATTAATGTCAATTGAATGACATTGACATTGAAATTAATTTTCAAATATTAGGTTAAAACTAAGAAGGAAAACTCTGCATTAAGAGGAAAACCAATTATAAATAACAATAGCTTACATTTACATAGCATTTTAAGATCTGCAAAGCTTCTTCACAATACGCCTATGTGGTGTTATTATCATTATTATTATTATTATTATCATCCCTATTTTATTAAGTTTCAAAAAGGTTAAGTGGCTACAAAGCAATTCAACAAATTTTTGTAAAGCACCTACTATGCACCAAGTCTTAAGGACAAAAATTATTTCCCCCTAAGATTTATTTTCCTGAGTCTTGCCCAAAATCACACACCTAATAAGCTGTCAGGGCGAAGACTTGAATTCCAGACCTCTGACTCCAAAATCCAGTGCTCTTTCACCACCCTGATGCTTCTATATCATGCTGTCTCTATGCCTCAGAAGTACAATTATTTGATTAGGTATTTTTAGTGGAGTATGTCATAGGAAAAAACACTTCTATAATGGAATTCAACTGACTTATTGTCTCTATTTATATGGAAATGTAATCAGCATCTACCAATAATTTAATGCAAAATCTATATTCTAATTTTTAGCCTACTTCACAAAAATTATATTTAAGTCATGAGAAACTAATTATCTCTGTATATGAGAACTTAGCACAGTGCTAGGCATATCAAAGGTGCTTAGTAAATGCTTGTTGACTGATAGGGAAGAAAAAAATGAAACACAGCACATATTATTGTATAAGAAGCTTTAACAAGTGTTAAGAAAACACAATGGAATTAGCATTCCCTAACTGTATCAACTGAAAATGATCTCTCATGTAATAACATAGCATTTTATATTTTCTTTATGTACTTTTATTCTAATTTTCATTCTGGCTTCTTCCTACTAAATAGTTCACTTATTTAGGACTGTTAAGTTCTTCTTTGTATCTCCCCCAACATCTAACATAACTGAACATAGTAGCAGAAATGATCACTGAATATTAACATGAAGGAAATAATGAGTCTTGTAACAAAACTAAAATCATTTTTGGCTTATCTCCTCCTTCAATCCCTCTATCCAGCTGGTCAATTAGCATTCATTAAGTATTTACTATGTGCCAGAAACTGTGCTAAGTGCTAGAGATAAAAAAGAAAGGTAAAAGATAGTATATGTTCTCAAGGAGCCAAAACATAAAGGGGGAGAAAATATGCAAACAATTTTATGCAAACAAGACAAAAAATTGCAGTTAATCTCAGAGAGAAGTCACTAAAATTAAGGACTGGGAAAGGATTCTTACAGAAAATGGAACTTTGAAGGAAAAAACTTGAAGGAAGCCACAGAAGCTAGAATGAAAAAATGAGGAGGGAGAGAGTTCCAGAGATGGGAGACAGAAAGTGAAAATGCTCAGTCACAAAATGGAATGTCTTGTGCACGAAAGAGAAAAGGAGGCTATTGTCACTGGATTACAGATTATATGAGGGGGTGGAAGGTGTAAGAAGATTAAAAAGAAAGGAAGGGACCAGATTATGAAGGACTACGAACATTATGAAGAAGATTATTGAGAAGCCAAACAGAGAATTTTTTTATTTGATCTGGAAGGTAACAGGAAGTCAATGGAGTTCAGTGGATGGGAGGTAATGAGGCCAGATCTGTGCTTTAGGAAGATCCATACGACACGTAAGTGGAGAATGGAATAGAATGGGGAGAGACTTGATACAGGGAAACCCACCATCAGGATATTTTAATAGTCCATGCATGAGGTGATGAAGGTTTGAATTAAGATAGTGATAGTGCCATAGGAAAGAAGAGGGAACATACAAGAGATGTTAAGGATAAAGAAATGACAGGACTTGTCCACTGATTAGACATGGGTGTGAGAGAATGAGAATTAGAGGACGACAACTTGATGGTGACTGAAAACCACTCACTGAAGTACCTTATTATCAAAGTAAGGATTACATTTGCTTTTTCTTTTACAGATGACCCAATCTGCCTTTGTAGATGTAACTTACTGACTTGTACAATAATTTTCTTTTGCAAATTACAAAAGAAGTTTTGTTATATGATTATTCTAGTTTTGATTAAAAGACAGTTATTGACAAAATAATACCAGCTTTGACAGCAGTGCTTTTAGGTTCCTCTGTTGGCAGTTTCAGCTCATAATCCTTCTGATTAGAGGGAAGACCATGGGATGGAACAGCTGAGGACATAAAGTCCATGATGGATAGCAAAGATTCCAAATGGAGGACTAAATCCAATGATGAAAATGATACCTAAGTCAAGAAACAATAGAAGAGACTAATTTTAGAAATCACAAAAAAACAGAATCAAAAACTTTTTGTTCAGGTTAATCATACAGAATACCTCAAAATACCAGTGAGGATTAGAGAAAGCTGTCTCCACATTTACTCTTACTAAGTATAAGAATAATTTTTACCTCTCGTTTTTCAAAGTTTCACAAACCTATTAGTTTACTCAAAGATGTAAGTACTTTGATAAGACATCAGGTCACATTTCAGACAAAAACTGCCCTGAATGTTGAAACATGTAGGCAATGTATTCAATTGTGAGAGGTTAAAATCCTTTACACACTAAAATTCACTCTGAATCTAAAGCCATCAGAAATTGTCATCTATTTAAAATAATATTCCTGTACAGAATTCCTACATTAACACTAACCAAAAATTTTAGCCAACATTATATTGAGTCAAAAAATACAGTGGCCTAAGATTTTTAAAAGGCACTTCTAAGGGAACACACTATTTGCTTGCTCAACAAGCATTGAGTCAATTCACAATTGAACTCAGTGAAGCAAATTGCTTCTGGGAAATTAAGTTTTCTTCCTATGAGACCTTTATTTCTATTTTATATAGCTACCAGAGAGAATGCTACTATTGTGCTATGCTTATGGTGATGTTAAAATCCTCAACATCTGAGGCAGCTACCGTAACTAGATTAAATGATTACCCCCACATTTAACTCCTGAAAATAAACCATAAAGTAATTACCTTTACTGTTTGTTTGGTATTATTATGAACAGTTTTAAATTCTGGTCCATCACTGTCTGCCTGTAAGTAAAATAAGATTAGAACACTTGAATACAAACATTGAAAACATACACACTGAATTTATTTTCTTGACTTATTTATAAGGTTATAAGCTTAATTTTGAAACCCTTCACATTTTTAATGAAGCTCAGTAAATTTATACCCACAGTATAAAAATGTTTCCACATGATATAGCACTTTGAATGTATGGCAAAGTCTAAGACAGCATATTCTAAATGTACCATATTTACTTGATTATTTTCTCCCTTCACATTTCCTCTGCTATATTATGAAAAGAATGTAAGGGGAAAAATTTTTCTCTGTATAATTATTGTTTCTGCTTTTAAAAGCAAATGCTGTTACTGGAAAAGATTTCTTGCAGTATAATTTTTTGCCAGCGCTAGAGAATATGAAAGGTTAAAATGAAAATAATTCAATAGCCTGAGTTGGAATAGACTTTCAGGTTATCTAGATTAATTGCCTCATTTTACAGATAATGAAACTGAGTCTCAGAGAAATGACTTGACCAAGGTCACATAGTAGTATCACAGTTATAATTTAAACCCAAAGGCTGCTTGCCACTAGTTTTGATTAAGAGAAAAAAGAAATTGAACTAGTCAGGACTCAGTCTTTTAACTCCAATGTAATAATCTTTACTTTCTCATCCCTTATTCTTGTATTCCTATCTCCCTTTGAACTCCCTTAATTTAGAGCGATGAGGTTATATATGCTCCAACTTTATTAAGCACCTCTGTTCTAGGCCCTATGCAACAAAGATGAATAATCAGTCACTGTCCTCATGAAACTATCAATTTGACATGGCAAAGGAAAGAAGCTTTGACAGGAACAAGGTTCCTCTCAGCTCAAAATCTATGATCCTTACTAAAACATGATGCAAAGGAAAATATAAGGGCAAAGGAGAAATCTGGACAAGATAATACATGGAAATAGAAGGAAAACATAAAGAAAGAAGAACTTTTATTGGGGGGGGAGAGGGTAGAAGCTGCTGATCATAGAAAACTTTACGGATGAAGCAGAACCTAAACTAGGTCTTAAAGCACAGAAGAATTTCAGGAAGCACAGATGTGAAAGCCAGGACATTGCAGCTTCTGGGTAAATGCACAGTGGCAGTACAAAACCAGAGAACAGCAACAGTTCAATTCAGTCAGGCTGGAACACAGTATTGAAGGGCATAGTATAAAATAAGACCAGTAATGCAGGTTGGAGGCAGACTGTAAAGGATCTTGGCGATGACAGGATGAGTTCATTAATTTATCCTTTAGTTTAGGAGAACAAAAAAAGCACTGGATTTAGAATCTTTAGACCTGGCTTATAATCCAGTCTCTGCTACTAACTGGCTATATGCAAGTGACTAAACTTCTCTAAGTTTCAGATTCCCTACTTAATAAAATATTTATAAATACTTATAAATTTATACTTATAAAATAAGAATGCTGAATTAAAAACAAAAGCAAAAACAAAAATAAAACCTCTAAAGGGTCTTCTACCTCTAACACTCTGATTATGTAAAAAAAAATTTTAACAGGATAGTAACATAGTTGGACCTTGCTTTAGAAGACTATTTTAGTAGTTATGTAAAGACTGCATTTGGGGGAGGAAATATTGTGAACAAAGAGATCAGTTAGAAGGTTACAGTATCCTACATGAGAGCTAAGACAGGCCTTCACTTAGAGGGTAACAGTATAAATATAGAGGAAGAGAAAGATGACTCAAGGTTTGTCAGGGCAGATCTGGTAACTGGATTTGTGGTGCCAGGCAGGGACAGAGATGACTAGGCATCCAAGTAAATATCAACCAAAAAATAATGACGATGCACAGTTATAAGCAGTTAGGTGGGTAGTACATTGAGTACTAGGCTAACAGTCATGAACACCTGGGTCTAAATCCTACCTCAGAAACTTACTAGCTGTGTGACCCTGGGCAAGCTTTAACTGCTTTATGATTCAGTTTCCTTATCTGTAAAATAAGGGGAGAGGGGTTATGGGCCTCTTTTTTTTTTTTTTGGTGAGGCAATCGGGGTTAAGTGACTTGCCCAAGGTCATACAGCTAGTACGTGTCAAGTGTTTGGTCTGAGGCTGGATTTGAACTTGGGTCCTCCTGACTTCAGGGCCAGTGCCCTATCCACTGCGCCACCTAGCTGCTCCTATGGGCCTCTTAAAGAGCCTTTTCAGCTCTAACTCTATGACCCTATCATTCTATGACAGTTTGTGCTAATAGCTTCTTTTCCCAAAACAGTCATTTTAAGCTCCAAAAATGAAATAAAATCCTAAATATAGATACTAGCTATTCAACTACTTGCAATTAAATTTCTTCTTACTCCCTATCTTTATCTATGTCTCTCACAAATACATGAAGTTTCACTTTAACAGTAAATTTTTAGGAAGAGCAGAAATAATTGAAAGGAATAATGTAAAGAAAGCTAGATTATACTAAATGGACCTAAACTTCTATTTTACTTTGAATTGGCAAATCTCTAATACGTGAAATTGAAAGTCTTAAACCTGAACAGAAGTTTCCAAGGGTAGCAGAAGACCAGGACATACAAGCTTAAATAATTTTCCATAATCACACCACTATAGATTTTTTGAAATATCAAGTAAAAAAGAGGAAGAAAAAGTCAAAATAAATAACATTACTCCAGACATACAAATAGCAAAGAATTTTAGAAATTAAACAACAATACCTTTATGAATTCCATTTTTAGAAGTGGTTCATCAGTTACATTACAAGAGTTAATGATATAAAGTAGTTCTCCTTTAGAATCTATAAGGAAGACAAACTTGCCTGAGAAATTAACATACTTAAAAGTCACATTTTAAAACAGTACCCAATGACAACTATTCTATAACTTCACTGTCAAGACATAATACAGCAATTGCTCCATTTTAATAAGCCCTAATGTACAAAAATGTAAACTTACAAAACACTAGCCTCTATTTCACTTATTATAATTATACTTTTAAAAAAAAATTAACAGTTTTCTGTTAAACAATGAGCAGCCCCAGTGAAAATAAAATTTTATTTACTAAAAACTATTACATAAAATGTTTTAGAATACCACTCTGTAGTTCCTTAGCATGATGAGAAAGAACAAAGACCTCTTTCTGCTATAAACATCTTTCATTAAGCCTACATTTCACACTTACCTGTGAAATCATGAGATTTCATATTAAGTTTTTTTAGATACATCTTAGCAGTCATGTCATGGGTTTTAACTCTAGCTTCTACTCCAAGTTGTAACACATTTAGTTCATGTAAAGGCTTTGTTTTTTTTTCTGATTTTTTCATCAGTGTCACCAGAACCTAATAAAATAAATACCATACATTTAATTGATTCTACTATTCTCATATAAGATAACATTTAAAACCTCTCAAGGTAAAACCACCAAAAAGTGACAGCATATTATTAGAAATCTAATTATTCTATATCTAAATTACTGTCTGAGCATAAATTAGGCACACTCGAAGGTACATAAAATCACTGAGATCTTTGGAGCATTACAGCTGTACAACTATAATTTTCAAGAGTTAGTAGAAAAAAAAGAATGAAATCTAAAAATTGAGATTCTAGATCAAGTAAAAGTTATTTCCTTTGCTATTTTCACTATTCTTCCTATGCCATACCTCAGGGAAGGAAGTTGTTATTGAACCATTAGTATGTTGGCCTGCAATAAACCTTTAAGGATTATTTTCACAGATGAGGAAATCATGGCACATCATAATTTGTCCAAGAACAGAGAAGGAACAAATAGACCAAATGATATATGAAAAGCACTTAAAGACTTTTTTTAAAATGGAGTATTAAGATTTCATTGGGTGAAAAAAAATTTATAGGTTGTGAGCTAGTCATGTAGCAAGGACAAAAAAATTAATAGCTACATAATCTTAACAGACTTAGAGAAAGATCTCTAGGGTATTGGACACAAACGAACAGATGCAAAGTAAAGTAAGTACAACCAGAAAAATAATACACACAATGACTCTAATAATATAAATGGTATAAACAACAATAAAAATTAATACTGAGCAATTATAATGATTAAAAGGGATGGAGAACACTGAATACACTGTCAAACTTAGTTGAGGTGTTGATTGTTTTTGATAAACTCATTTTTTTTAATCTTCCCTTTTCTATTTTTCCATTTTTTCTTTTGTTCCTAGGGATAGTTCCATTAAAAGAAGAGGTAAGATAGGTTTATTTGGAAATAGAAAGAATGTTTAAAAAAAAAGATATCGTCAAAAATATGAGACTTTTTATAATTTGTTTTTGACTTTTCAGCATAAAGTACACGATGCCTGGCTCACAGCAGGCACTTAACAAATGCTTGTTGACTAATGGTTCCTCAGGTCAGACTTTGTATTTCTGCTGCCACTGTTTTCAAATATCTACCCATTTACAAATGGACTGGTTCCTACATGGAAGTTTAAAACATATATTCTGCTTAAGGAAAAAAATCTAATTACCTAATAAGAGAAAAAAATCTTTTCAGAAGAATCCACAAAAAGCGGAAAATGTCTGATTTTACTATTTAAATACACTTCCATTACCAATGAGGTCATAAAGGCAGTAAACAGTGTAGTAACCAAAAGTCAAGGTCTTCTTCCTTCTAAACCACCACATTAGAGTTTTGCCTGTATCATGTATTATATCTTCTTTTTAGCAAGTGACATGAAAATTGCCTAGAGTGACAATAATGATATCTATGAAGAATATACAATTAGGAAATAGGATTATTTATATCTTAGTAAATCCAATTTCATTTATCCAATTCTTTGAGGGTTAAAATGCCCTTAACCTAGTAATCATGTTTTCAGTATTTAAAAAGAAGTGGGACACAAATTAGTGTGTCAAATTTTCTGATAAGGACTATATTACTAAGGTTTCATGAATCACACCAAAAAACCAAATGATAAGTAGAAATAACTACTAAACACAGATAAAGAAAACCACTTTTGGAAAACAAAGACAAACATGAAAATCACTCAAAATGGAAGGAAATAAAAATATTTTTATAAATGTAAATGTCCACCCACATTCTCCTGACATCACAGAATAAAGTATTATCAATTCAAATATTATTCAGTGTTTTAAATTAATAGTTGTTATGGTACAAATGACAGGTACAGACAGATATTATGTTGTATTACACAATTATTTATATGTACTAGAAGCTCTTAATTCATCAAAGCAGCTTACTCTTGGGGCAGCTAGGTGGTGCAGTAGATGGAGCTCTGGCCTTGGAGTCAGAAGGACCTGAGTTCAAATCCTGCCTCAGACACACGGCACTTACTAGCTGTGTGACCCTGGGCAAGTCACTTAACCCCAATTGCCTCATCAAAAAGCAAAATAAATAAATAAATAAAGTAGCTTACTCTCTTATAAAATTCTTCTTGATATAAATCTATGTCTCACAGCTAGATTAAAGCAAGATCTCCACTAAAACTAGATGATGATAAAGAAAAATAAGAGAGTAGGGGAAATCCATTACTACCGCTCTAGGAATCTGTAGGGTCAAAAGTCTAGATGACTTCTGTTCTCTACGATATTCACCTCCCTAATCTTAAGGATTTCTCAAAAAAAAATCTTTTAATTTACTTTTTATTTCCTGTTTCCCTTACATGCCTTATTCCTGTTAAAAAAAAGTCTAGGCCAAGGCATATTCCAAGTCTCATCTTACTTTTTACAAATGAAGTCGTAGTTCATGCTAAAATTTTCCGAGATATATTTCTTAAATATGGCCACAACTTGATAAGCATTCCCAGCATAAGGATTTAAAAACATCACTGAGACAAAGACAATCTAATGTACACACTTCTCAAGATAAGAATCATATGGTTTACCTCAGTAGGCTACAGCACATTACCAGCAAAGAACTATACAGGAAAAGAAGGAAAAAAGATGATGCCCCCAGACAGATGTCTGTCTGCACAAAAAGGGAAGCTAGTCTTAGGGTAAGTGTGAGAGATGACGAATGGACAGAGCATCTCCACAATGTCAAGTGATCAAGAATGGTAGGGGACCCCTCCCTAACAAGACATATGGGAAGACATAGACAAGAGCCCCACAAGATAAGAAATCACAGAAGGATTGTGATCTGCATCACTGAAGGCAGTATACAAATCCATTGAAGCATAGGAGTTTCGGGGGACTAAAATTAGTAATAAGGATATTTTTACTTCCAAAGAGTTGTATAATTCCAAATTTCTAAAAGCAATTCAAAGCTTTCAACTATCCTCAGTCAAAAAGTAGCTATAAATACCCCCACACACCTCTTTAATTTCAAAATTTAGCAGCACATTAGTGACATCTTCTGGCACAATTTCTTCAACTCCAGTAGGTAGAATTTCTTGTGATATATGTAAACCTTGTTGTGATGTGAACTTCTCAAAAGGTTCTTTAATTTTACCTAAATAAATTCATAAAAGAGGAGCAAAAATTATTTCTGTCCTAAAATAGCCACAGAATGAAAAAAAAACAGTTATTTTTCCAATTACAAGCTAAACATTAATGCCTAGTGTTATCTGGTTATATCATATTCCAAAGATCCTAATTAAATTCCCTTTAAAAATAAAAGTAGTATTAGTTATCTCTCTTCTCATATTTCAGTTTCTTGAAATATCACATTATCATAGGTAGACACTGTACAAATTCCCCTACACATTTACATCAACTTTTACTTGATGAGGAACTTTAATTTATTTGAAATTGTGTACTAATATCTTACAAAAGTGACTGAATTAAAAATGATTAGTGTAAGTGAAACATATTTTACATAAATTTTTGTTGATATCTTCTGTTTTAATATCACCTGCATTTCCTCACTATCTGTCCATATGTTGCTTCCAAAAGATCTTTATAACAAAGAATTTAAACAGAAACATATAAGACAGGACCAGTGTTCGGGGGTGGGGTGGTGAGTGGGGGTGGGAGGGGTTTGATGCTACTGCCCAAGCTTCAGACCCAGGGATCTGAGTCCCAGGCTACCTCCACCAGGGTCTGACAAGTGGAAGCCAAGGTCATGGAAGCAGTTTGATCCACCTGGCACATGTTGCTTCCTGTCTGTCTCTCTCCCTCTTACTGCTTCAGCTAGGGTGGTTTGGTGGCATCTGATAGGAGTAGTTGGTGAACTAAAAGCAGGGTTGGTGGGATGAGTGGAACGGACTGCTACTCTGGTGGTTTACAGAATTTGGGTCACAGATTGTCTATAATGGTGTCTGAAGAAAATGTAACATTAGAGGAGGTGACATCAATCTGATCTACGTGGCAGATGCCACTTCCTATCTCTTCCTCAAGATGCCTGGCTACTTCTGTGAGGCTGGCTTACATGGTAACTGGTTGATAGATGGTGGTGGTAGTGATAGCAGAGATGGTGGGTCCCATCTCCACAGGACTGCTATTCATTACTATGATTTTTCATCATTTCCCTTGATATTCCAGATCTTTCATTCCTCCAAATTAATTTTATTACTTTGTCTCATTCTGCAAATTATCCCTATGATTAATAAGTCAACAACTCAATAAATGAACCTTTGCAGTATTGTCATTTTTGTTACACTGACATGGTCTAGCAATGAACATTAAATGTATTTTCTAGTTATTTATGTTATTTTTTTTATTTCTTAAAGAAACAGTTGTAATTAGTCCCATAAGATAATGACTCTTGGCAGACTGATTCCCAAATACATTAGGTATTTTTTAGTTACTTTGAATGGGACTTCACTTTCTAGTGTTGCCTGCTGGATTTTGCATCATATCAAAATGCCAATTTTTTAAAGTTTATTTTGTAGCCTAGAACTTTGCTGAATTTGTCTCAATTAATTTCTTTGCTAAATCTCTGAGATTTTCTAAATAAATTACCATGTCATCAGCAAATAGGAATAGTTTTATCTCTGCTTTGCCTATCATCACACCTTTAATTTCCTTCTCTTTCCTTATTGTTATTGTTAGCATTTATAGAATTATATCAGATACTACTGAGAAAAGGAGACATCCTTTCTTAAGCTTCTAGAGTGTTTCCCAGTTGCATATAATGCTTGCTTTTGGCAAGATACACACACACACACACACACACACACATATACACTCTACATATACATACACATACACACAAACATACATATGCATAACCATATTAAAATACTGATCTCTCTATACATATACTTTGTAGGGGTTTTATTATGAATGATAACTGTCAAAGGTTTTCTATTCATCTATTGAGACAATTGCAGATTGGAATTTTTTAAAAATTTGATTAATTATGTTAATTGTTTTCCTAATGTTGAATCATCCATGGTGTAAAACCAACTGGTCATGATAAAGAATTTGCTAAATAAATTGCTCTAGGAATTTAGCCAGGACTTTATTTTAAAATTTCTAACAGATACTCATTAATATTAGCGCATAACTCCATGATATAATCTATAGCTCATAGTTCAATAGCTTTATTGTACTCTGGTTAGCAGAATCTCAATCTGGGAGGGAAAAGTAATATCAATATTAACTTTTCCTTAAAAGTTTAATAGAATGTTTAGTGAATCCAACAGGATTTTTTTTTCCTTTGGTTTTTCCTTTGCAATTCTACTACCTTTTCTGTTTTTTTCCTTTGGTAGTTCCTTTGTAATTCTACTACCTTTTCTGAGACTGGAATAAAATCTCTATTTTATAAGTGTTTTGCTAGTTTGGGCATTTTATATTTTTGTAGGTAATCCCAGTTTCGATCGTATAACTGCATGTTTGTGTCTGTACTTATTCAGTTTTTTAATTTGATTTTCTATCTTCTTTTGAACCAAGGTGGACAGTTTTTATCAAATTTTTTATTATTTAAGAGCTCTAACTTTTAATTGTTTATCAATTCCATCATTTTTTTTACTTCCAACTTATCCATTTCTCATCTAAATTTCAATATTCTCTCTTCTGTGCATATTTTTGGTTTGTTGGCTTTCTAAATTTTAAAAACATATATTCAGTTAATACATACTCTATTTTGTTAGTATATATCTAGGGATATAATTTTCCTGAGGATTGCTTTAGCGGCACACTAGAAATTTTAATAAGGCGTTTCATCATTACTATGGACTGTCAAATAGTTGTTTCTATTTGTTCTTTAAAGTAATTTATTATTTAGTATTTCATTATTGTTTCCTTTTTGGTCTGTTATTTTGTTTGTGAACCCTGAATAAAATACTATTTTTACTTCATTATGGGCTACAAGGGATGTATTTAGTATTCTGCTTTTCTACATTTGCAATTTAACTGGGATCTAATACATGGTATATTTTTGTAAAAGTGGCATGTGGTACTGAGAAAAAGGAATATTCTTTCAGAAGATTCCATAAAACTTTACCTCTAAATTTTCAAACAATTTGTTATACATTTTCTGGTTTTGCCTAATTTTTCTGTCAGATTTGTCTAATGACAAAAGAGAAACATTAAAGCTACTTATCACTGTGTTATCATGCTTTTCAGTAATTCAGCTGACTTTCTTTTATAAATTTAGACACCACGCCTTTTGAGACATATAAGTTTAAATCAGTATTGATATTGTCTCCTTGTACACAGTTTCCTTAAGCATAATGTAATTCCCTTGCTTATCACTACTTATACCGTGCGTTTTTATTTTTACTTTCACAGCACAATTGTAACTACTGCTTTTTGGATTTACCTAATGCACAGAAACTGTGATATTTTCTCACTTTGATTCTCTTTATCTTTGCTTTTCAGATTTTTTTTCTGTCACTTTTAGTTTTTTAGGTTGGACTGTTCAATCCATTCATATTCAAAGATATGAGAGTGAGTTTTATGTTTTCTTCCATTTATTTCCCTAATATTGCTTTTTAAAAGAGCAATTTCTCTTTGTTATCCTTTCTCTTTTAAGTCACAGCTTGGCCCCTATAATGTTTTGCTTAAATCATTTTGATGCCACTATATTCCCATAGTCTCGCTCCCCTCACCAATCCCCTTCCCTTCTATTTACCAATCGATTCCCTAGTCTCAGGATTTCTACTTATTTATTTCTTTTATCTAGTTAGTGAATTCTTCTCCTATTCTCCTCTCAGTCAAGTGATTAATTCAAATTGTCTCCTCCCCTCCAACTTTTTTTTGTTAATTTTTGAAAAAACCTTTTTCTGCATCTTCTTCTCAGGATTTCTTTATCTCGTTGTCGGTCTACCTGTTCTGAACATTTATTCTTTGACCAATGTTCTACATCCACATTTATTTCTTCTTAAATCTCTGTTCTTTGAGGATTTAAACCTTCTTAAGTATAAAGTCTAAACTCCCTCTTCTAAGCAATTTCTATGTAGATCTTGCTCCATCTTCCCTTTTTCTTTCTGCTGTACCAAACTCTTAAAAATTCAATTCATGAGAGAAGTAAAATAGTTAAAAGCATTAGCCTATGGTAGACACTACCATGTCCCAAAAGAACTTCCTGCCCTCCCCATAATGATTCTCTTCTAACTGCCATGTATTCTCAACTCTAGGTCTGTGTTTTCCCATTCTTAATGCTAGCTTCTCCCCAGAACTCAAATTTTCTTTCTCCTGAGGCTGGTTATCCATGGAGGTGCTTCCTCTCTTAGAGGAACTGATCTCTTTGCGCACCAGTTATTCTCAGATTAAACTCATACTAAGGCCTCAAGTCTCACCACAGACATATACCTCTTCCCCCATATAATGCCCTTTAGTCAGATTCCTAACCCTACTCCCACTGAAGCCTCTCCATTTCAATGCCTACCTCTTTCCATTTTCCTAAAGCCCATCTTCTTGTTGAGAATAAATTAGTTGTCTTTCCTTTGTTCTTCATCCACAGACAATAAGGGCATATCACATATTCATTTCTGCCTTTCACACCTCTTCTCTCCCCATTCATGTACCTTCCGATTTTGCAATTTTGTCTCACAAAATACAAGGCTTCACCCATGGAAGTTGTGGGGTTTAATCCATGGCACTTCAGTCTTATTTCTCCTTCCTTCACTTCTATATCTTTAAATTTCAGTTTCATCTTTATCCTCATGTACTTTAAAAAAAAAAATCACTTGATGATCCTTTCTGATTTTTTTTGTTGCTATAGCTGCCATTGTTTTATTCCCTACATCAGTCTCTCTTTTTTTTTAAAAAAATGACTCTGCAGAGATGAAGCAAGTTATTTCATTATTTTTTTCCCCTTGGGAGTTATACTTTTTAACCTTTTGCTTGCAATTTGAATAATCTAATTTTTTTTTTTGCAGGAATGCCTTAAATGTATTTCTTTTATTGCAAATCCATCTTTCCTACTGACAATCAGGCTCAATTTCACAGGTATGTCATTATGAGTTACAGTTTGAGCTCCTCTGCTTTTTCAGAGAATATATAATCCTATTCCCTTTTGCTAGTTCAACTGACTGAAGAATAGGTTTATGTTTGGGATTTCCTTTCAATTATATTTGAAGATTTTTCTTCTTACTAGTCACAGAATTTGTTGTTTGTCAATGCAACTATTAAATTTAATCACTGTGTGTTTTGGAATTTGAAGTATAGGTTTTTTCATTCTGTTTTTTTTTTCCTGGATCTATGGATTCTTTAAATGTCTACTCTAGTTTTTTTCCCTTTAGAAGAGCTCTGGGCAGTTTTCTGTACTGTTTCCTATATTATGGTGTTCAAGTTATGAGGATCAAATGAGATAACTTATGTAATATTCTGTACAAACCTTAAAACCTTGTATAAATGTTAGCTAGTGTTATTATAATTATTATTGGTATTTGGCAAGTTCTTCTGGGAGACTTTAGATTCTTATTTCTGTATTTCCTTTCCCAAAGTTATTTATTTAAAGACTGTGAGTTCTTTTAAAATTATTGCCTGTTATTTATTTTCTTCCAGACTACCTCTCAGTATTTTTGTATTCCAAATCTACTATCTTTTTATTCTTTGGAAAACTTGCCATCATGGCAACTTTTCCAATCTGATACTTATTTCTGCTAAGAATAATAAAAGTTCTGACATGTATTCCCATCTAAAATTTCTCTTTCAAACCATTCTGGAATATCTTATTATTGGTTCCACAGGTTCTGTTTTTCATCAGGCATTGGTTCAATTTCTTTTATATTTGTAGTGCTTATAAAGAGAACCTTGTAATCTTTTTGAGGATTTAGTGTTCATTCTTCCTTCTTTTTAACATCTTCCCTGTTGATTTCTATCTGCCTATGTGCTAGATTTTTCATTGGATTTTTTTCCTCTTGAAATATTTTGTGTTTTAACCTTTTTTCCCTTTGTATTTCCTCCTCTTAAGGTAGGTAGATTCCTGCAGAGACTGCAAATCTTTCTAAGCCTCTTTACACTTTGAGGATTTTTCAATGGACCTAGTCCTTGCCCTTAATAGCTTCCAGAGGAACAGGACTGACTGGGCCAGGTGAATTTCAATCCTTTTCATTTCAGACTGAGTGAAGCTACTAACACTGACCCTTCTGCCACAGTTCTTTCCATGACTCTTATTCTTTGCTTCTCTGGTTGGGCTAAATCAGCTTCTACCACTTTTCGCAGGGTTAGAAAAGGACAAGCTGAGTTTTGGTTGTGCCAGCGCAGATAGTAGCCTGATTACACACACACAAACACACACACACACACACACACACACACACACACACACACACACCTTTAATGTGGGTAGAGCAGAATCAAAGGCTGCTGATCACGGCAGCTAGATGGAAGATAGGTTAAAGTAAAAAATGGAGGTGGAGAAAAAGAGAATACGGTGGCAGAGTCTCTGATTGAGGTGGGAAATCCCTAGCAGGTATCAGGCACAAACCTTTGGCCTAGTTTATGCATCTCTGGGGAAAGTGGGGTCTACAGCACTGGTGCTGAATGAATATGTTAAGATTTAACATTCTCTAGCTTTAATTCATCATAAGGCTTTTTCCTCTGTCATATCTCTCACTTCCTTGTCCAGTAGATTCAACTAGAACTCATCTCCTTCTGCTGTATAATTCCTCCTGGCGTAGGGTTAATTGCTGAAATTAACAGCTTCCATTTGAAAATTAAATTTCCGACAAGTAGTATCATCTTTATATGTCAAAAACTACAACTAATATTTGCATTTAACTTCACAGTCCAAAAAATCCTTTTTTACATATATTGAAAACTGAACCTCTCAAAATCCAGTAAGATAGTCTAACAGGTATTATTTTCCTCATTGCACAGATGTAGAAACAGTGACTAAGGTGTCCTAGGTCCAAGATCCTACAGTTGCCTCATTGGCTGAGTCAAGTTTTCTGTCTGAGTACCATATGTGGTAATCTTTTCTTAAGGAGTAAGTATGGTGCAGCTGGTAGAGTGATAGACTTGTCTTTAGGATAATTTAAGTTAGCATTCTACCTCAGACACTTACTTTGTGAGGATGGGCAAAGCATTTAATCTGAGCTTTAGTTTCTTCATAGGTAAAATGGGGATAACAATAATACCTATTTCACAGGATTGTTGTGAAAATCAAATGAGACAATATACATAAAAACACTTTGTAAACCTTTAAGTTTTATGTAAATATCAGCTATTATTAGATTATTTTAATTATATCAAGCTTCCTTTCAATAAATAAACAGGAATATAGTTATAATCACCATTATGAATGTGGGGGGTGGGACAGGGTGGGAGAAGAGGAACATTATTTCTATATTAACTGGTCTCTTACTTTTCTCTTGTATTCTTGGTTCTATTTTACCAGGCCCTGCAGAAGCCTCCCCAAGATTTTCTTCTAATACTCTAAGCAGAAGACTCAAATCATCCTGATTTAGGCCAACCTGTAAGGTAATAACACTTTCAGAAGCATAGTGAATATATATATACATATATATATATATGTATGTATCCACATATACTTACAATAAGCCTACATTAAAGAACTCATTAGATGTGTATTAATCTAGATCAAAGGGTAAGGTTATCACAGCACTAACTAAGCAAATCATATCAACCCAGGTTCAAGTATTTCACCATTGTTTCATGTGAAAATTTTACTTAAGACTGGCAAGCACATAAAAATATATATATATATATATATATATATGTGTATATATCTTAACTAAATTATTTTACCCATACTGGAAGAGTAATCATGCAAGCATCAAGCTAACTTTAAAACAAACAGAAAAGGACATATTTCTCTAAATGGATAAAAGTCCATTGTCTAACTAATTATCATTCCAGTGTAGTACAAATAGTTATACAATGTTAAAAGTTTGTTTTCCTTTTACTACTCAGATTGCCTTAAATGTATTTCTCTGTCTCTGTGTGGGTGTGCATATGTGTGCAAAATATACCTAATAAAGTGTACTTCTAAAAAACAGTAAGAAAGAAGTAATACTTAAAAATTTAGACCCACTCAAAATCTGAAGAATTCTATCTTTGGACAACCTGCCAAATATTTTTCCATGATTTTTTTCAAGCCAATGAATAAATATAATTTGTGTTCATAAACATAATAAACAATTCTCCATATTCTAGAAATTTCAAAAGGGAAAATATGTATACAAATACATATTTATACTTACATTCATTGTATCAAGATGCCCTGTAATTTCCATTATAGGAATTTTGTGATACCAAGCTGCAGCTAAATTCCGATTCACCAAAATATTCAAATTAATAGGGTGTAGTAGTTGAATATCAGGATGAGAGACACCTGGTTCAATCACTGTTCTAATGAAATATCAAAGTATAAAAACCTGAAACTGATAATGACCAATTATGACATTCAACTAATAATAGTTCACATTTATAAAGCTTTTTTCAAAGCACTCTGCACAAAAAACCCTAGAAGTAGGTGGTATAAGAATTATGATCCTAATTTTACAGGCAAGAAAACTGAAGATCAGTAATTTAATGACATCCTCAGGCAGATCTGAAGGAGCCAAGACTAGAATACGAGACTTTTGAGTCCGTGTCCAGTGGCTACTTTCACTAAAGAAAAGTCAAAATCATTGTTCTGAAAAATGATTAACGTTTTGACTTGAAATACTGAACACATTACCAGTATTGCATTTCTTGGACTTTCAAAATTCAATCTATTAAGAAATTATTCAAAGGAATTAAGTAATAAGGCAATGTTCATTAGAGGGCAGAATTGATTAGAATTATAGAATTTACAAAAATCATTACAGAGACATGAGCATGATTATAGTCCACAATATCTAGCCTGATGCAGATCAGAACATATGCCCTCATATCTTATCTAGTTATCTATCCTGGTTGTCTTCTTGCCAAACATCTTGCCCTCTTCCCCATCTCAACAGCCCCTCCTCTGCTCTGGGGAACCATCATCCCACACCTCTTGCTCTGGGAACCATCATCAAAACAATATTACCACTGCTTCCAGAAAGGGCACAAAAAGCAACTCTATAAGGGTCCATTCACTATGCCTGTGGCATCCCAGACTTAAACACACTCCCCTAGCCACCATTCCCCTCTATATACTGCCTCCTCCTCTTGGAAGGAAACTCCTAGAAGAAAAGGTCTTTCTCACTTTTGTGTTTATATACTTGGTACTTAGCACAGTATCTTGCACACAGTTAAGTGCTTACTAAATATTTTTCATTGATTCATCAAATAATATTAAACACCTATTAATGAGTTTTATCAAAGTTTGTAAGTTTTATCCAAGAATATAACTGAACTAATATACTCTGTATTTTATATATTATATACATAGTGGTCTTTCAAGTTAAAATGGATCCACAAAAAGCTTTCTTCAGGATTAATGCAGTGGAATTATTTTACAAAGACATCTCCTTGGTATTTCAGTAATTCTTTCCCCTGGATAGGGTCTTACTAAACGTGCTTTCAGACATATAATTTAAATTAAAACAAGTTCCAATATGGTAAATTGGTATCATGAAATTTTGTGAAAAGGCATTGGTAAAAGACATAAATTAATCAATACTAAAAGACCATACCTAGAAAGTTTAAGTTCTGTTAGCTGCACAACCATTTCGTCAATTACTGGAGGGAGTAAGCAGCCTTCACCAGACACCTGACTAAACTTGTTTTGTATTCTGATCAACCCAAGATCAACCACCACTGTATTACAGGAAATGGAAGACTGTGGAATGACTATAACCGGTGCCTTTAAGTCAATACTGATAGAAACACGAAAACTCCTCTGGGCAAGATCTTTCACACTCGTGGCAGCCTTTTCTGCAGCTTGGGTGGTGGCAGCGCTCAGTGCTTCTTTGGCCATATGAAAATTGTTCAAGAAATTCTATTCAAATAAAGAACGTAAATAAGAATGTCAGATGTAAGATGGCCTTCACATGTTACTGTATTAACAGGCATTTAAAGTTGTTTTTAGTTTATAAAATATTTAAGAAACATTTTTTATGCACTTGTGTTTCTGGTGAATGATGGCATCTATCTATGAGACTCCTGATAGGGTCAGAAGTCTGCGGCCATGGAACAGACCAAAAACAAATCACCTTAATAGTGTCTGAATTAACAACCTTCACTTCACTAGATTTTAGCTGGAGTTCACCAATCATAGCCCAAATGACTAAATGACTCATAGAACTCAGCTACCTGAACACAGGAATAGCAACATACTAAAACATAAATACTATCAGTAATGTATATCTAGCACAAAACCTCCAAGAATCTAGATTTTTCAGTGTTTGGGTATGCAAACATTGCTATCTTGAAAATGAAAGATACAAATAACATCATTACCAGGAGAGACATGAGGAATTTATGAAGATAGACTATCTGAATACATCCCACATGCAGTGACACTACACTATCCACTTTAGACATATCAGCATAAGCATCTCCTTCAGTAGCATCAGGATACAAATCCAAATTAAAACGGAAGACTTCATTGCCCATTATTGAGACAGCCTGGAAAAAAAAAAAAAAACACTGTATATATTATTGTTCTCATTTTACACAAAAGTAGCCTAACGGTTGGAGAAGTAAAGTAACTTGCACTGGATGTGTATCAGAGGCAGCATTTGACTCCTTGTCTTTTCTGAGTCCAAAGCCAATCATCTTACACCTTGGTGTTTCCCATGATATATGTATGACGTGTTGCCACAGAATGTCAATACACTGAGAAAAGTACAGCCAAGTGAGGAGGTAGAATAGAACCCAATGGATGCCATTTACAATGCACTGTAGGTTTTACTGGGAGGCTTTTATTGTGCTAGCTAGGACCATGGAACAGCTGAGAAGAAAATTTCTGCCTATGACTTATGCTAGCAGGCAAAAGGAAGGCTATGGCATATTACTGGGAGACTGGCTACAGATATTTACAAACAGCAAAACGTCTGAGTGTAAGAAACTGTAACAATGGAGTTAAGTGAGGCAAGCAGGGGTGACTGGCCTACGCAATGCTGGCAGATGGGGGTCTTAGGCTGTGTTCATCATTTGTGGCATTTATGGGCTTTCTTTATTGCCCTTCCTTTAGGAACAGCATCAAAGGTAGCTAGTTCATATAGTACGTGCTTCTTGATCAGCTGGCCTGATTCCCAGGAGCCAGTACATTTGTACATGGGGGAGAGGCTATGATTACAGGACAGGCCTAAGTCACAGGTCAAGCTGCAGTGAGTCGGAATTGATTCATCCTTTATATTTTCCCATCTCCATTGCCTAGAATATAGGCACTTAATAAATACCTGATTCACTGATTCTGCATCTGATATGTTCATGCTCTAGGGAGCTACATTGAGAGCCAGAGGTCCTTAGTTCTGATCGCCATTCATTCTGGCTACCTATGAGATTCTGTCACTTCACTTTTGGGTCTCAATTTCTACTCCTCTAAAATAAGGCGGTGGACAAGAAGACCTCTACAATCCCTCTCTTCCAGCTGTGATCCTATTCTAGTTGACAAGTCATAAACAAAATACCCACATTTTTACAGAACTTTATTCTTATTATCATCATAAACTTACACTTATGCTTTTTATAGTGCTTTCTTCACAACCCTACAAGGTAGGCAGTAAAATTACCAGCTCCATTTTCCAAGGATGTGGAAAGTAAGGTTCAGAGAGGTTGCCCCTGGTCACACAGGTAAACGACCCTGAACTCAATTCACATCTTCTAATAACAAGAAAAATACCTATTCAATTTTAAAAATATTAAATATTTATTTAAGCTCATATACCTGTTTATGAACTGTATTTGTATCAACATCTGTGACGATTATATTTTCTAGTCGTGCAAAAAGTGACTGTTTTTTTGATTGAAGAGAAAGAGAGGAATCAAGGCCTGAAAAATAAATCATACTTTTATACTGCTACTGAAAAATAACTGTCCCTTCACAAATACTGAATTGTTGATATTTTTACCTTGAATCTTTATTTCAGCAATATTGTGTTTTTCATCACAAACAGTGACACAAAAAGCATTCAACTTTGCAAATAGCTTGAAATTAAAAATGTCATTGTCTTTGGAGGGTGCAGTCACTGAAAATTAAAAAATATATATATTTCTGAATGGCTTTTAATAATCCAAAAATCTTTGGATTTTTTAAATTAAGTAAAAAAATATATATTTAAGGTGATTTTTTTTTTCCTTTCTCAAGTCTAACTCTGGGTTAGTAAAAAGTAAGCATAATGCAACTGACTTCGTTCTTTAAGATTCAATTGACCTTCATAACTGAATCGGCATAGTAAGCAGTCAGTGTTGAAAATGTCTTTTTGTTAACCCTTAAGATACACATTTATAACTGAAGCAGAAAATATTTTTAATTCAGTCAAAAGCATTAATTTTTCCCTGAAATACAAAATGTTGAACCAAAATTTTGTTAAAATAATGCCAAATTCTTTCAAGATCTCTAAGATTAAACTCTAACTTTAAACATTAGAAAAACTTATCAGAGACCTAGGAGGAATGCCAAATTTAGGGAATAACTCTTTAATTATCTTACTTAGAGATAATAAGTGTTTATCATACCTTTTTTCAGATTAATATTTTTTAGTTGCTTTTCACTATGAAGTTGTGACTCTGTCTCAGCAATAGTTTGGCCCTCTGATGGGATAACAGTGGTTAGGTAATTAATAGAAGAGAGAAGGGCTTGTGTTTGCAGTAAGAGATTTAAAGATGAAAAGGCCACCTTTTTTAAGGAAAAAGAAAAAAAGAAAATTAACCCTTTGGTGAGAAAAGGAACATACACCATTCATCCCTACAGAACAGGGATAATTATGTATAATTATGTAAATGCAGCTTGAACTTTCTTTTTCACAAGATAACAAAAGCCTTCAAGAGCAAGTCAGAAGATTAAAGCACCTCAATAGCTTCTTTACCCAATAGTTTTTTAATTCCTTTCTGTTGGTAATCCTAATCTTCACAATATAAACTATTTCTTGGTTAGGGCATTTTCTATTATGGTCACACAAGAAATAAAATTAAAAATTGAAGCCTATAATACCCTGGGTATTGGACATGATTAAATGACTCAACAACAAAACAACAATCAGTAGAATACTGGATTTGCAAAAATAATTCGTGTGAATGATGACATAAAAGCATATATAAGAGTTCTCAGTTGCTAAGTTGTCTGACAAAAAAAGTTGAATAATTAAAAGAAAACTAAAAAATTCATGAGAAGAAAAATTCAAAATTTATAAAAGTTTTTTATCAAGTGACTATATAAATCTTATAATACAAATCTGAATCCCTTCCAATGTGTTGTTTAAAAAGCTTGAACATATGGAAAACATTAAACTGAACAAAGACAATCAAGCAAGAAGTGGAAAGAATGTTGATTTTTTAAAGCACTAAGGCCCTTAAAGAATATGTTATTTAGGGGCAGCTAGGTGGTGCAGTAGATAGAGCACCGGCTCTGAAGTCAGAAGGACCTGAGTTCAAATCCAGCCTCAGACCAAACACTTGACACGTACTAGCTGTGTGACCTTGGGCAAGTCACTTAACCCCGATTGCCTCACCAAAAAAAAAAAAAAAGAACATGTTATTTAAATTTTATAGAACCGTTTTGATGAATTTATACACTTAATGGACAATAAAAATAGTCGTTTCTGAACCTAATACTAACGCTTTTACTCCTCAGGCAAGTAATCTAAAATTCACAGCTCCCTGTGCCTTGGCACAGACTGCTGTCTCAAGCCTAGAATGTTCTCTCTTCTTACCTCCACCTCTTAGAATATTTCATCTCCTTTAAAGCTCAGCTGAAGCATCACCTTCTAAAAAAAGTCTTTCCTGACAGCCCAGCTTCTACTGTCTACTCCCAATTACCTTTTTATATCTCACACACACACACACACATACACATACATGCACACATATATATGCACATATGTTGTCTCCCCCAGTAAAATGTAATCTCTTTGAGATGAGGGACTATTTAATTTTTATTAAATTGTATCCAAATGTCTGGCACACAGTAGTAACTCAATAAGCACTTGGTAATCGATTGCCGTGTACTCTCTCCTCATCTTTGCCTCTTGGGATCCCTTATTTCCTTCTAAACTTAGTCAAGATAAATCAATATAAATCATGAGCAAAAAAGGGCTTTAAGTAATAACCTTTCTTAAGTAAGATGTTTTCATTTAATATAAGTTTCATTTACCTTAAATGTCTGCTCAGTGTTTTCAAAAGTAGTTTGAAAACTAGGTCCATTCTTGTCAGCCTAAAAGAGAAATTAAAAGTTCTAAAAAGAAATGCAGTCAAATCTAAACAACCTTCTTAATAAAACTTTACAGCTAATATCAGTTATTCCTAAATTGTGTACAAAGTATAACTGGTGACCTGAAGATAAGGAAGACTGTTGTAAACTGACTGCAACACATTAACAAAATGACTTCCTACTATAAATGGCAGGAAGAATATTGCTAAGGAAAAGCGTGACTCCAGAAAGAAGTGGGTCAATCCTGAACACAGAATGAGGGACAACGGCTGGACAACCCACAGGCTACGCTAGTAGCCTCAAAATGTCAAAAGAGGAAGGCCTTCAGTACCCTCAGGGAGGATTAAGGAGAAGTTATAGAAAGACATGGAAAAGAAGCATATTGTCAGAAGGAGTCACAGATCTAAGGATAGAAATAAGTTTAAAATGTTTATTTAGGACTAATACGTGAGCAGCTCTACTCTCCTTTAAAAGTTGGAAGAACATGTCCTTCAAGGTCTTAAAAGAAAAGGCATAACCAGAGAAGCAACCACCTAAGGTCACTTCCTCAGCTGCAGAATTATAGTTATCTCTAAATGGCCAACAGAATGTTCAGGTGCAAACACAACAAGTATGAGAGGGTAAAGCACAAGGAGGCTGATGACTACACTATAGGAAGAGGAAGCCAGTGTATTTCAGGAGGTGTTCCATCAATCTAATGGGTATGGTGCTATGAGAGAGAGAGAGAGAGACAGAGAGAGTGTGTGTGTGTATCTTTGGCCTATATCCATGTGAAGTGAATGGAATGCAGAGAGTTGGGGAGAGGGAAGGATCTATTTTGAAAAGTAATGATGTCCTTTTCAAAGTCTTCTGGCAACCCACTCTCTCTCCTCTTTCTTATAGATATACTTGAAATATGATATAAACATCTTAAAGACTCATACCTTGATATATTCCACCTTTAAAAGATCTAACCCAGATTTGTCAGAAGAACTAATCAAATGAAGTGGTTTCTTTCTGGTCCCTGGAAGGAGAAAAGTAAACTGCTTGTTTATAGCTGAAAATTGAGGATAAGATTTTCTTTTTAAAGAGATCTTTTGAAGGGTTAAATTTGAAATCTTTATCTATCTCTGACAACTTAAGAAAAGCTTGACTAGGTCTACTGCAAGTTTCTTACATAATCTGAACTGGGCCCTCATTATGGTAAGGTAATCCTTTTACACCTTCCTAATTGATCCACTATCCCACTCCCAAAAGCAGCTTTTACAAACTTTTTCATCCTTCCTCAAACCTTCCCCAGTTCCTCCTCTCCCCATCCTCAAGTGAGAACCATGCCTCACATTTAACTGAAAAAACTGAAGCCACTCACAGAGAGCTCCTTCTTCTTCCCTATTCCTCACTTCACATTCTGACACTACCTTGTTCTACACCCTGTTCACATGAAGAGGAGGTCCTTCTTGCCGAGGCTCACTTCCCTACTGCCTACAAATGCTCATGTCTCTTCCATCCTCAAAAAATTCCCCTTGATCCATCCATTCCCACCAGCTACCATTCTCTATCTCTCCTCCCTTTTGTGGTTAAACTCCTTAAGGAGAAGGTGTCTCTACTTCCTTTCCTTTCTCTCCTTAACTCTTTGCACTCTGGCTTTTGACCTCATCATTCAACCAAACCATTCTCACCGTTACCAATGTTCTCTTAATTGCCAAATCTGATGGCCTTTTCTTAATTCTCATTTTTTTGGGGGGTCTTCCTGCTGCCCCTGGCACTGTCAATGACCTTGTTTTCTTGATACTCTATCCTCTATAAGTTTTTGTGACACTGCTCCCTCCTGGTTCTCCTCCTATTACCTGACTGCTCCTTCTGTCTCCTTTGCTGAATCTTTATTCACATCTGTCCGGGCCCTTTCTCCTCTCTATATACTATTTCACTTGGTAGTCTCATCAGCTCCCATGATTTAAATTACCATCTCTATGCAGAGATCTTTCAGATTTACTTTTCAAACCCTAACCTTTCTCCTGACATTTAGTTTCATGTCTCCAAATGCCTATTAGACATCTCAAACTGGATGTCCCATAGACATCTTGAACTCAACATGTCCAAAACTGAACTCACAATCTTCCCCAAAAATCTTCCCCTCTTCCTAACTTCTCTATTTACTCCTAGTCACTCAAGTTTGCAACCTAGGTGTCACCTTGAACTCCTCATTCAACTCCTCCACACCTCCCCCCGACCATATCCAATCAACAGTCAAGTCCTGTTGTCTCTACCTCCATAATATCTCTCACATATGCCTGCTCTCCTACAACACTTGCACCACCCTAGTGCAGGCCCTCATCACTTCATGCCTGAACCATTCCAATACTCTGCTGGTGTCCCTGTTTCTAGTCCCTTCATACTCTAATCCATCCCTCTCTCAGTTGTCAAATCTTCCTAAATTACAAGTCTGACCATATCACTCCTTTATTTAATCAACTCCAGTGGATTTCCATCACCCCTAAGATTAAAAATAAAATCCTTTGTTTGGTTTTTAAAGCTCTTCATAACTTTACTCTTTCTGTCTTTCAAGTCTTCATATACCTTACTCCTCTCAGTGATCCAAAGTACTCAGTGATCCAATGACATTAGCTTCCCTGCTGTCCCTCACACATAACACTCTACCTCCTAAGAAATTTCACTGGCTTTCTGTCAGCCAGCTTCCCTGGCTTCTTTCAAGTACTAGCTAGGTCTCACCTTTTGCAAGAACCTTTTCCAGTCCTCTTCAATCTTAGTGCCTTCCCTATGACATTGCTCCCCCTAATCTATGGGTGTCTTTTCTGTACATAGTTGTTTGCATGCTGTTTCCTACATTAGACTGTTCCTTGAGAGTATGCACTGGTTTTTGCCTTTCTTTGTATCCCCAGCACTTAGCAAGACCGGCACTCAGCAGGCACTTGATAAATGCTAGTTTACTTGACTTATTATTCTCACCCAAAGATCATGCCACTTTTCTGGGTTATTTTTTTAAATACTCTACTTTCATCTATGGAATGAAGCTACCTAGCCCTGAAAGCACCCTGGAGAAGAAGTCAGGTGACTGTGGCTCCAGTCCTGACCCTGCTATGGTCTCACGTGATCTTCCAAATGACATTTCGTCTGAGACAGACTTTATCACCTGTAGAATGGAGTAAAGAGTTTTCCGTGGCCCCTTAAACCACAGGTCCACACACAGAGCATTCTGGATTTAGTCAAGAATATCATACAACTATCTGGAGTCTATGAGGGGCAGAAGCAGCTCTCTCCATATCAAGTGTCCCCAGCTGCCACAGGAGTTACCACCACCACTCCTGTAAGGCTCCAGTGACAGAGGAGGAAGAGAAAGGGTGCTGAAATATTTGGCTGTCTCTTCCACAGCTCTCATACAGACTCACTTTTTGGCACTACAGTCCCTGACCCCATAGTACTTCTGCTCAGTGAAACCAAGATACTTTTGGGGACAAATTATTTGCCCTCCTCTTTCTCACCCCCCAGGGGCACCTTGTTCCTGCCTGGGATCTCCAATCAGATGTTCCCTTAAGCCAGGGAAAAATAAACCAGAATATCTTTTCCCCTTTGACTCTCTGGTCCTTTTGTTGTCCACGACTCAGCCCATAGTAAATGTCTCTAAGGCTGCCACTGGACAAAAGCAAGGCAAAAAAGACAAATTTTATATTTTCAGAAGATACATCTCATCAGGCCCTCTGTGCCAAGCAGAGGGCTAGGGAAGCAGGATCCAGTCGGAAAGATGCTTTTTTAGATGAGAAAACAGGCTCAAAAAGTTGTTCAGTAATCTTAGATTAAAGGGAAGAATACGATTAAAAGGAGCCATTTGCAAAGTTTATATTGTCCTTAAGTAAGATTCTGTTTTTTTAATTAAGTTTGGTTTAGTTCCTCAGTGTGACAAACAAAAATTGTCTCTTATGATTTAGTATTCAATAAATTTTTGCCTTTTGAAAATAATTAAAAAATAAAATACCCTGAGTGCACAAAACATGCAATGCAGGCCTATGCCTGCATTCTAGAATTCTAGAAATCTATGAATGTCAATCTTGGGGGCCATAGTAACAGAAGCTGACATTTACGTAGTTCTTTTAAGATTTTTACATGCGTTATTTCATTTATTCCTTACAAAGTAAGGTAAGTACTGGAGGTATTATCACCCCCATTTTGCAGATGGGGAGTAGAGAGGTGAAGATGAGAAAGGTTAAGTGACTTGCACAGGATCACAGACCCAGTAAGTGTCTAAGGCAGTGATCAAACCAAGAACCTTCCTAAATCCATCACTCTTTCCACTCTAACACTGCTTCCCTTCACCATAATTAGTGTCTTCACAATTAGTCTGAGGAATAAACAGCTACAGGGAATTTGAGGGGAAAACAGACATGATGAAGGTAAACTTCATGCTCTGCTGTCAGCAGGTATTAAAATGCCATTTATACCTTCACAAAACTGTGGCTGAAAGTAGAGAGGCAACAGACAATAAGGAGATTCTTCTAAGAAACCACAGAGTTACTACCATAAAACAGTTAACAAACTATTAGATATTGCTCCAATGTCTCATGTACCTCAATTTCCTCATAACTTCTCACACAATGCTCTCCATTCAAAGAAGACTTACCTAGAAAATTCTTATTTAAATAGTCTTTTTGTAGTGACTAAAATGTCCATACCCTTTGATTCAGAGATTCCACTGTTAGGGATATTTTTCAAGGAAGTCAATGACAAAAAAAAAAAAAAAAAAAGCCCCATACATATCAAAATACTTATAGCAACACTTTTTTGTAGTAGCAAATAACTGAAAACAAAGTACATGTCCATCAACTGGCAAATTACTAAACACACTATATGATGTGAATGTATTGGACTATTTTTGTGCTTTAAGAAAAAATAAATATGATTAATACAGTACAAGAAGGAAAGCATTACATTAACTGATGAGAAATGAAGTAAGCTTAACTAAGAAAGCTATCTATACAATGACCACAATGTAAATAGAAAAACAAGACAAAAAAAAGAATGTTGCCAAGTTATAATGGCCAAGCTTGGCCCCAAAGTAGATATGAAGTAGTGAGAGGTGATAGGTATAGAACACCGCACGTTAGAAAATTTTCAAAATGTTAGGTTTGCTGAATGCTTTTCTTCCCTCTTTTTCATTCTTTTCTAAAATAATGATTGCTTTTGAAAATGGTAAGAGTATACAGTAAGATGTAGCAGATATAAAAACAAAATATATCAATAAAATTTATTTTTAATGGCCTTGTCTTCCAACTTATAATTGATGGGGTTACTTCGTGCATTAAAAGGTCACTTTCTTCCTAACCTGAAGATGACATCTAGTTTCAACTCAGACAAAAACAAAAAATAACAGTCTAAGAATCAGCATTTGTCTATATTTAATCTAGCAAAAAGCTAGAATAATTAATATTTCAAGGCTTAATGTACAATGAGTTCTAATTAAGCAACATAAAACAATCCCCTATTTTGGTTTTTATAAATATTACCTTGAATTGCATTGTAATCCAAGCTTATTTTCTTCAAATAAGATACTACAACCATGTCAAACGGTCTAACAGTAGCTTCTGTTCCCAGCTGTATTATATTAAACACAAGAATTGTTTCTTCTTTTTCCTGTTGCTTGGTAAGTTCCAAAATCACCTAAAAAAGTAGGTAGGGCAGTAAAGTAAAAGTTGGTAGAAGTTAAACCCACATTTCAAAACTGAATACTTCATTTTCATAATTTGGAGGGAAAGGAATAAATATGTTTGAGCTTGCATTCCTTTCCTGTAGCAAAAAAGGAGATCAATATCATATAGTTTATAAGGATAATAACGTACATGTAGATGTTCCTAAGGTAAGTGATTAATACGTACCTCTTTAATTTCAAATTTGAGCTGAAGGTCAATGAGCTCTTCATTTGGGGGTTCTGTGACTTTACTTATCTCAGATCCTTTAACACTTCTACTAGTCTGTTGTGATCCATCTTCAGCATCAAAATATTCATCATCAGACTCTAAAGGAAAGAAATATTTATTTAACCTGAAATACCATCATTGAAAATTATATATAAATATTCAAAATTTAAATCAAACATCATTAAAACATCATTTAACCTAAAAAAAATCTTAATATCAGGATCACATTAGTCTTAATGTTTAAGTCCCAAAAAATGACTCAACTTTTTGTTGTGACAGCCAGGGGGTCCAACAGATAAAGTGTTGTTGGACCTGAAGTCAGGAAAACCTGAGTTCAAATCCTCACTTAGATACTTACTATGAGTTCAAATCCTCACTTAGATACTTACTATGTGACCCTGGGCAAGTCACTTAGCCTCTGTCTTCCTCAATTTCCTCACATGCAAAATGGGAATCATAATAGCACCTACCTGCTAGGATTGTTGTGAAGATCAAATGAGATAAAATTTGTAAAGTATTTTCAAACCTGAAAGGACTACAGAAATGCTACCTATTGTTGTTAATACTGCTGTTGTTACATTTTTCCCCTCACCTACTTGCAAATACAAAAAAATGCCATATTCCTAAAAACAGCTTTTCAGAAAGAATACTATTTCCTTTCAACACCATGGATAGCACCACTGTTTCCCTATTTTTTTTTTTAAATTTCTTAGTTACAAATACAGGTCAATTTAAGAAGTTTTGTTTTTGTTTTTTTTTTTAACAAGACTACTTATTCCTATTATTTAGAATCACAGAAGTTAAGGTTCTGTAACATTCCTAGTCTAACCCCTTAACTTACAAATAAAGAAACTAAGATTTTTTTATCTCAGATAAGATACTCAGTGGCTTGCCTAGTTAACACATCTATCTTTGATTTAGCAGCAGCTAAAACTGAAACATCCTGACAGCCAAGATCTTTGCACTGCACCATGATGTCAGTAAATTGCTACAGAATTTTTTATTATTTTGGTACATCTTAATTTTTCTAGCACTAGTTTATAGAATTTTTTTAAAAGCACACTCAATAATTTGTATTTCCTTACCTGACTCTACTTCTTCTAGCAGCAGTGAAGTGGTAAGTAGTCTCTTTGTCCCATCAGAAATAATGGGAATAGCTGCTACCTAGAAAAGAATGGACAAGTAAAAATAAAACGTAAGCTCTTGAAGTCAAGAACTATTTATCTTTGTAGTCCCTGGATATAGCACAATTTGGATACTTAATAAATGTTTACTGACTTATTCAGGATTAAATTCACAAAAGCCATTTTATACAGACACATATATCTTTTCAGATATCATGTCAGATACACAATTAATTTTTCTTTTATATTTAGCTAGAATTTTCCAATATTAGACTACCATAAACACTTAAAAGATGCTAAATATATGTGTTACATGCATACATCTATACATACATATAAAAACAATTATTTATGGTCAAATGTCACTGCAAGTATGACCACAAAGGTAATAAAAGATAACAACCATTACCTGAGCAAAATTATTTCATTTCTCTTTAAAATGGCACTATAAAGAAAATTAATATTCTAACAATTCTAATCTACAGTAAGTGATACTTCAACTCTTACCTCATGGTCTACAGTCAAGTTCAAAGAACAGTGGTCAAGAACTTTTAACCTTTCCATATTATAAGGTATATCACAAACAAGTTGTAATATACCACAGAGAATTCTATGCCTGGCTGTACTGATGAAGTATCATAACATTTGGGGAAATTGCTCTTTTCTTGGCTGCTATATTCTCCTCACATGCCTGGCTTACCATAAATGTACTACCTCACTAGCATACTGAATGAATTATGGAAGTGAGTTCCAAGTTTTAGTTATTCAATGCTGCAATTTTATCAAGTACTAGCAAAATAAACATCAAACATCAACATAAAGCTCCAAAAATCCCCACGAGATGAAAGTGATTTTAAGAAAAATTCAAAAATCAAAGTAAGTTGCAAAAATACAAAAAAAAATTACAAAAAACAGTAAATTTAAAATGTTTCCCAAGTGCATTTACCTTTCTCTCTGGAGATGGCACATCTGATCTTGTTGGCATGGGGATGCTGTGAATCAAATCCAGCACATTTTTCATCTTTTGGTCAGATAGTCTCACATGCATCAAAGGAAGCCCACCTGAAACTTTAAATCTGAAAATGAAATTTAAAGCTAGTTTATTTTTCCAAGCATGTCTTTGTAATTATTTCCCATCCTATAATCATATGCATCAATCCAGGAGTGCATTAATCTAGCCATAAGAATGCATGCAAGCACAGTATCATAGGATAATTTACCTAAACTCAAAATGCAATTTTACTTTTTAAATTCTTTTAGATAATAAAAAACATTCAGTTAATTTTATACTGATCTTACAGATTATTCAAATTTTACATTTTACTTTACATTTACATTATTTACATTTACATTTAGTAATGATGAAGGTCTCCAAAACCCTCTTCAAGGGTTCTACTTGAAAACACACACACCAGTCAACATTTAAAGACTATAAATCCTTATACAGTCCTAAAGTAAGAGCTAAGTCAAATCACACACTTACGCTATAAAATATTTTCACTTTAAGCAAGACATAAGAAATCACTGAGCTATCACCTAAAGAAATTTGCCTTTGTTTATCCAAATCAAGTAACTGAAGCAGTTAAATTTCTCTGACAAAAGAAAGAAATTCACATAACAAACATGTATTACCTGGCCATTCTAATGTCTTTTTCCACCATAGCCTTAGCCAACTCAACATGGATATCCATAGGCTGTAATATATGCAAAGATGATGGGTGCTGAAATCGGGCTTTTTTCCAATCTTCCCCTTTACAAAAAAAAAAATTACCAAAAAATTAAGAAAGAAATTCCCTAAAACTTTTTTTTTATTATGGGCATTCAGTAAAAATCTAGATGTTGCTTGAAAAGATTTAAAATAGATTAACAGAGGGTGAAGGTAAGAATGAGAGCCTACCAATTCATATAGATCTGTATTTATTTGGACAGTGGCAGTATGGGCCACACACTTTCAAAGCAAATAAAGATTTCTAGGCTAATAAGACCCATTTTAGTCACAAAATTTGTTAGCAAATTATAGGAGTAGAAAGAAAAGGAGTGAAAATATATATACCAAAATATGTATAGTAGTATTTTCTGTGGTAGCAGAAAACTAGAAACAAAGAAAAAAACCTATCAATTGGAAAACAGCTGCACAAATTGTGGTACACAAATATAATGAAATGCTATATTGTGCTAGAAAAAACAGAGAATTATGAGGATTTCCGTGAAAACTGGGAAGGTTTCACTTACTTGATATTGATATTCATTTAACTGACTTGATACAAAGAAAGCAGAATCAAAAGAACAAAATATCCGATCACTGTGAAAATGTATTGAAAATAACAATAAAACAGATAACCTCAGATTAAATGCAATGACAATCCAGGCCCTTAAGGATGACAAGACTATCTATATCTCCCTCTTCCCCCACTGTATCAACAGAGAGGTGGGGAACTATGGGTGCAGAATGTTACATACACTGTCAGATATAGCTACTGTGTCAAGTTAATTTAGGTTAACTTTTTTTTCCATTTCAAGTAAGTATTCTATGAGAAAGGGGTATATCAGGAAATTACAGGTATGAAAACAAAAGGCACTAAAAAAACTTAAAAAAGAAAAAAGAGTAAGGTAATTGAGATAGAGCACAGTACAGAACCAAAAACACTGGATTTGGTAATCAGGAAAGTTAGGTTGACCCCCATTTAATCAAAGCATTTAATAATCTTTCACGTTACTCTTATAGAAAAGAAAGAGATTTGTATGACTGAAGAGCATTAAATACTAGTTCAATATCACCTTGGAAGGAGATCTCTAGTGGAGTACCCTGAGGATCTGTGCTTAGCTCTATCCTGTTTAACATTTTTATCATGAGTCAGATAAAGTCTTAGTGAGCATCCTTACCAAATCCCCAGATAATAAAAAGTTCAGGAGGGAAATGATAGTTAAGTGTCAACAACAATGATAGTACAGAACACAAGGCTGGATCTGATAACATGAAAAAAAGTGAAAAGGAATTAAAGTCTTACATAGGTTCAAAAAATCAACTTCACGAATCCAAGATGAAGGTACAGCAAGATGGCAGTTTGTCTAACAAAGAACTAGGGGTCTGAATATGCAAGTTTCTCAGTGTGCAATGGCAGCCAAGAAAGCTAATGTAACAATAGCAACATCACATCACTGACCAAAACAGGTCACATATGTGTTCAGTTCTAGGCAATACATTTTAGGAAGGGTAAAGACGAGCTAAAGAACATCTAGAGGAGGACAACCTTCCCCTGGTAAAAGGTATAAAGCTCACGACATGAACTCCAGTTGAAGGAATTGGTGATGTCTAGCCAAGAAAAAGAAGACTCAGGGAAGACATGATCACCGTTTTCAATTATGTGTCACATGAAAGTGGGATTAGACTTGTTCTCTTCAGCCCCAGAAGACAGAACTCAGAGCAATGGGTAGATATTGCAAAAGGGGCTTTGAGTGAAGCATGATATAAGACCCAGTATTCTAAAAATTAGAGCTACCCCAAAGTAGGATGGCCTACCTGCCTTGGAAGGCACCTCCCTGGATGATCACTTGCTACGTGTGTGCAAAGGGGACTCTTTTTCATTTATGGGGTGAACAAATGGGCAGTGAGGTCCCTTCCAACTCTGAAATCTGGTGTTTTTTTGTGATCTGAGTCTCAGTAGGTAATTACTAGTTATGTGACCTTAGTTAAGCAGCCAGAATGTTACAATGCAACTCACTGAGAACAGGGAGTATGTTTTTACTTTGCATTCCCAACAATTTGGTGCATTCAGGAATGTTCAAAACAAGCTTGCTAACCAAGAGAAAACAAATAACAGTCTGTACAAACCATTTTAATTTTGATAACAAAACGCACCTATAATTTTTGTAAGATTAGAAAATTAATGTTAGGAGAATTTTAGACTGTATCTACAGTGATGAGATACGCAAGCTTTTAAGATCTCTGGAAAAGAGAACAAATGAAAGTAGAGACTGTTTCATTCTTTGGACCTGTATCCCCAGCAACCAGTACAGTTTATGCCAGATAAACTCTTGAACTGACACTTAATAAATATTTGTTTAATAAACGATGCAAGAGCATTGAGTTAAAGGCAATAAAATACACCAAAAGTGTTACTGTTAGTGCTTTGGTTAAAGTAACTCAGCTACATTTTGTTCTATTAAGACAAAAATTTTAATTTTCTTTGTACACCGTCAAATATTATGACCACATCAGAATAGGCCACATTATGTTTGGGCTGAGATTCAGATAATATAAGGAGGGATACAGTGTGAATTGTATTTCTGGTAGTTGTAACAATTTTCACTGAATCGTTCAGACCCTCCTTTGCCTAAAACTCCCTAGAACCAGTAACAGGCCTACAGCTAAATATTCTTGTGTCCATGGATTTGACATGGCAACCAGAATTAGAATTCCTAGATTCCAAAGTCATAGCAAGAAATTTTTACCTGATCTTCCAAAAAGACACTGGACACTTTTAATCTCAACATCAAACTTGTCATATGCTTTGTCCATTATTTCTTCTAGGGATGAAGTGGTAGTTTGCCTTTCACCTTGACCTATGCTGTTTAGCTACAGTAAAGAAAAAAGATTTAATTTACTCCCCCACACATATATTAAATACTTTCAAGTTAGATCAAGCAGCAAAAAACTGAATAGTTCTCTCTAAACCAGAAGGACAATTCCTGCTAGTCTGTCACTAAGACCTTGCCCCCACACACATTCATTTCATTGTTCTCAGTTTTCTCCTGAGAGGCAGGAGGGTTTGAGAAGAATAATCTTCAAGTCTCCTAACTATATCCCTCCAGCCCCTACCAAAATTACTTTGTATTGCTTTTGCATATATCTGGTATTGACTCATGTCTATATGCTGTACCCTTCACTGCCCCTCCCTCTCCAAGAAGTAAGTGCCATGATGTCAGGAATGGTTTCGTTTTTTTTTTTTTTGTATTCCCAGTGCCTAGGAAAGAAGGAAGGGTACAAGGATTTACTAAGTGCCTATTATGTACTAAGTACTATGCTAAGTGCTTTATAATTAATATCTCATTTGATCATCACAACAACCCCAAGAGGGAGGTGCTATTATGATATCCATTTTACAGATGAGGAAACTGAGGAAGACAGAGATTAAGTGTCCAGGGTCACACAGCTAGTAAGCATCTGAAGCTGGATTTGAACTAAGATCTTCCTGACTTCAGGCCCAGAACTTATAATCTGCTGTAACAGATGCTTAATAAATGCTTGCAGTTACAACAATGCAAAGAAAAAGTACCACCACCACAAATAACTGAAAATGAATTCAAAAAATTACAAAGAACAAGCATGGCCCTCAAAGAAGAACTATGAGAAAACACCACTTCTCACTTCTTTACAGAGGGAGACAATCCACAGATGTGAAACACTGCATATATTAACAGATTTTTTTTCAAAATCTTAAATTGGTTTTGCTTATTTTTTCTTCTTTTTCTTTAAAAAGTTTTCTGGGAGAAGAGAAGAGTAGGGACAGGCAACATAAAATATCAATAAAAAAATGTTCTAAATGCATGTTGAACTGAATAGTTGAGCCCGCAACCATGTGGAACAGCAGCTGCAGTTCAACAGCCTAGGACTTGGTTTACTCTTCATTACCCCAAGTATCACCAACGCAGTTGGGTCACCTTGGCCTTACTTTCAATACTATTGCTCTTCCCCTTCCTAAGCCCATTACGGCCAAAGGGTTGGGGATCCAGGGCTTAACTCTTCAAAATCTCAGTCGTTGTCTTCAGGTTTAGCTTTCAGTTAGTCACTAGAAAAGTTCCGTCTCTCTATTTAGCAAATGCTAGTCAATTAAGAAATAAATATTCATGAACTTACCTTAACTTCAATAAAAAAAAATTCAAACAATGAATGACACAAAATTTTGAAATCACAAAAACAATCAGTAACTTTTCTCAGGCTATATTAAAAAAAATAATATGATGAAGAAAATCAATTTAAAACAGTTTCAAAGTATACAATATAAGATGATTTAAGGAAAAAATTAAAAACTGGAAATGAGTTTTTGTGAGAATAAACACTGAACATGGAAAACTAGACAACAAACACACACACACACACACACACACACACACACACACACACACACATATACATACATACATACATACCTGAAAGGTACCAAAATCCAAAATTAAAATATCTGAATTTTCATGATAGAATCCCGTCCTTGGTACTATGAGGTAGGAAGGCTTCAAATTAATCCTTAAATCAAGAACTTTCCGTGTTTCAATAATGTGGGTAAGTCCTATAGATGACAAGTTGACAATAAAATATCTATTAGATGGGTGAGTTAGAAAATACAAATTATTAAGAAACATTAAAAATACAAATTGAAAAAAGATAAAACAGTCATTTTGACTATTTTAAATAATCCATGACTGTTTCTAAGCAAGCATTTCAAAGTACCTCTGACAGATGAACAACCAAATATACTCCAGGGAGGAGATTGTTATGACTTTCGGAATTAAAAGTCACATGATCACTAACATACAAATATGACCTAGAAGACGTGTCTTATTTTTGGTTTTACACTGGGCTCAGGAAGTGACGATGCAATAAGTGCTTCAAAATAGATTTTTTTTTTAATATTGGTATTACTGTTGAAAAATCATAGTTTAGGTTGCATGTACATTTTTTTCTGTTTCCAGTTGCACTTTCAAAGTCAGTATCAGAAAAACTAGGTTTGTCATTATGAATAAAAAAATGCTCAAATAATTTACCTGTAGCTGTTTTCTCTTTAATTTCTTCCAGTTTCATCAATGTTGCTGAGGTTATCTGCTCAAGGTCTAAACTCTTACTTGCTTGAAAGAATTCTACCATTGCATTTATTGTTTTCTGTAAAATAATTTTTAAACTAATCTTTCCATTTAACAAAAATTGCTTTTATACTCCATTATCCCAAGACTCAGCTCAGTTCCAGGATAACCTTAGTCTTGCAATACTGCTTTACTGCATTCTCTCTAAATTTTAGGACCAAAAATTGGGACTAATTCTTTGTTACAGTTGTTGTTTATAAGCCTCCCAAAGAGTAAAGCCAGGGATTCTGGGCAATTGCTTGAGAGAGGACAGGAAGATTTGATAGAGGCAGGCTTCATAGGGATTAAATAGAAAGGAAAGAGAGTAGTAGTTTGGAAGACAAAAGCAGAACCATAGGCCCTCAGAAGGTGATCTAAATCACAGGTATCAAACACGCAACCTGAGCCACACAACCCCAGTAAAACTCCCTGATGCTGGCCCAAACCATACTAAAATGAAATTAGAAAATGTTTAACATTCTCCATGGTGGTACTTACTGCATCATAAATTATCTCTACTGGCTGAGACTGAACTACCAGAGTTTGGTGGGCAGCGCTATCCACTGGGTTGGTCTCAAATTCAATTTTAAGCAGTGACGAGCTGGTATCCCCAACGGAAGCCACAAGAGATGGAACAATATTTTGCTGCATTAGACCAGTTACGTACCACTGTTCCAATTTTGCTTCTACCCTACAAACCAATAAAAAAAAAAGATAAAATGCAAGTTTACTTTAATGTTATCAATGGAAAAAATGAATCACATAAATCCTTTCAGAGAAAGAACTGCATTTTAAAAGTCAAAGAACTATGTCCAAATTAGCAATTAAGCCCTGCAAAATCTCATACCACAATACCCTTTCAAATTTATCTTCTACTACTTCCTTCCAGGACAAGTGGTCTACTCACTGCCCATCCAAACACAGTTTAGATTTTCTCATCTCCTTGACCCTGCTCTGATCTGTCCATGTCCATAGGAGTTAAATGGAGAAGGACCCATTTTTCCATGAAGCTTTCAATTTTTTTTCACTCCTTCTTTTAACTCATATAACACTTACTGTTTGCATCACTTAATCATAACTGCTTTCTGACATACTGTATAGCATTGTTTTTTAACTTGTATTGTTCATTAACTTTTTGTGTGCTTGGATGAGTTCAATGCTACCTAATTCAATTATTCAAATGTCTTTCATTATTGGCCCTTATTTTGCTACATATCTGAAAAATAACTGACTATAGCTTCTATTCTTGGTTTATTCCTGGTTCTGGAATGTCAGGAAGGTGGGCAAAGCCCTCGGCATCTACTCTCATAAGATAAGATGCCTCATTATCTTCCACAGTTTCTTTTTAAAAGGAGTGGAAGTGGGGAAATAGAGGGAACAAGAAAAGAGGCTTGCTTGTTTTTAAAGGTGCTATCACAATAATGGACATAATATGTAGCTGTGAACTCTAGGGGCTGGAGAATGTGTTACTTAGAAAACTAACTTCTCTTGGGTGCCTAAGATATAGTTGATACTCACTATAAACTTGTAGATAATTTTGATGCTTTCTCTGGACCTTTTCAGTCCCAGTCAACTCTAAGTTTCTCTATCTTAAAGTATCCACAAGTTTTGTCTTTTTAATATAAGAATAAGGACCCTGAGGGCAAGCACTATGTGTGAATTTATATACCTTTGTAGCTAATATAACACAAAAAATAAAAATCTCAATTCTTTTCTTTTTAATTTACCTAAGCGCCTGTGCTCCTGGCCGCTGAGATGCTCGAGTGCTTAAGTCAATAATTTGCACTTTAAGTATCTCTGGAACATTTCTGTATTCTCTGATTGTAATAGATGTCCTGCACAGTTTCAGTGTCATTACATGGGCAATATACTAGACAGAGAAAAAAAATATTTTTAAAATAAAGTTTAAGTAGTTTCTATTCCCTTGCAAAATAAACCTCTATTCCATACACACTATAGGCAAAGATCAAATTAATTTAATTTAAATAATTAATAATTACTATAATTAACATTACAATTAATATATTACATAATAATTAACACAGCCAAAACATTAACAGTAAGTTTTGTAAAGCACTTTACAGAAACTATCTCGTGTGATCCTCACAACACTGTAAAGTAGGTACTATAGGCATCATTAGTCCATTCTACAAATAGGCAAACTAAGGCTCAGAAAAGCTGGGTACCCAGCAAGGTAATACAGCTAATCAGGTAGTATCTGAACTCAGATCTTTCTGACTTCTAGTCCAGTGCTCTTTCCATTGTAATAGTTAACATCTGGCTTTGAGATTTACAAAACATTTTATATACATTATCTCATTTGATCCCACAATAACCTGGTGATGTAAAACTATTCATGGCTCAATACAGGTATTATGGCCAAGAAAGAACATCATAAGAGAGTATAATGAAAAATCATATCCTCTCATATTATAAGAATATAAACTAAGCAAACTTAGGGAGGGTCATGAAAGAAACAATAACATGATATCAACAAAATCCCAACTCTATAATGACGTTTTTCAAATAGTTCTTAAATTTGCTAACATAACTAAATCTAAGCAGGAGAAAGAATTTTAATAAATAAAGATCTAACTACAGACATTTAACAGTTAAGAACATTAATAAGCAAACTCCTGGCACACAGAACATAAGTGAATTATCCAGAGCCACACAGCGAGTAGCTGTCAGGGGAAGGATTAGAACCCAAGTTTTCCTTACCCGACTATTTTTACCACTTTGCCTCCAGCAATTGAGTATCACACTGAAATAAAAGCTAAACTTAAACTCTAATAATGTTTTAATCACTTTTCCCAAATTGGTTCCTATTTTAACCCTTTCAAGCTTAGAACAAAATAAAGAAGTACAATATTAATTTATCAACATATTTACCTGCTTAGGTAAAGTTAAGTTGTGGGTACTGTCACTATATCCAATGGCAGTGAAGAGTTTTGCCTTTTCCTCCGGAGTCATGAGGTCATCAATGGCTACAATAAAAATTCTAAATTTTTTAGGGAACTATTACAGAAAGATAGTTTCAGTATGATAGATAAAAATCTATTAAGAAGTCTGATTAAAGTACTCTACAAGAACCAGCAAAAGTGTTAAAGTAGTTTAATTATATCTATATTTCTTTGAATAGGTATTAGAACAGATAAGAGTTAGAAATTCAGGCATTAATGCATTATGTACTATGTATTATTTTAGCACGTAAAAGTTTTATGCTTGCAAGTAAGTTATTATGTAGATTATTATTATTATTATTATTATTATTGTTATATTAGTGCTTATTTAACACAAACCTTTCAACCCCTTCTATGAAATTCTTGCCTATTTTCCAATACATACACCCTTTATAAAGGATGAAAATAAAAATCTATTCACTTTATCTTATTCTGAAACCACACGTATAAATATTGTATTATATCTTTATTTCATATTATTTTAGGGAACTATGTTAAATTATTTAGACAAGAATGAGTATGTGCTGCATTTCTCTATCAATGAAGTACACATTAATTTGAATTGAAACTTACTTTCAGGAACTAAGGATTCTTCATCGTCATTTTTCTTAGTTTCTTTCTTACCCCAGAACCCACTAAACCAGCCTCCACTACGCTTCTCCCCTGTATCAGCTGATTTTTTTCTCAATTTTTGCCCAGATCGAATCACCTAAAAAGTAAAAAAGATTTCTTAATTTATTTAAATTTTATTAAATTCAAAACTTCTTTTAAAAAGGAAACTCTAAAAAGAAAATCATATCATATCTAGGAAATAAATATTATGCAACAAGGTGTAGTGAATTGGGAGCTGTCCATCACTGTAGTCAGAAGGAACTGGATTCAAAAACCACTACTAACACTTTATAGTCTTTGTTACGTGAGCCTGAGAAAATCACCTAAATTTTCTGTGAGTCATTTAACTCTCTAAGACTTTAAGTTGTAAAAAAGTTACTGATCCGCATTGGTAAAGGGAGTTTCCTACACCCATTAAACCTGAAATGTGGACCCAAAAAAACTCAAATATTTCAATTTTGAAAGGTCCTATAACTAACATTTGTGCCAAATTGCCCCCTTTTTTAAGCAATAGGCAACTAAGTCCCAGATAAATAAAAAGATTTGCCCAAGGTTACAGGGCTAAAAAGCAGCATATATGTTTATCAAACCCAAACCCTCCAGTTTCATAACCAGTGCTCTTTCTACTGTCCAAAATGTTATATAAGAAAACTCTAACATATCTTTCTGTGCAACTTAGAATTTACATTTCTCAACTGTTTATGCTAACTATGCAGGGACATGGAAAAAAGGGGTAAAATATCTCATTTCTCAATAAGATTTAATTAAATTGACTTTCAACTAATCACTTTGATGGTCATTTTTATTAGTCTAATTTGATAACTATTTACACTGAAGTAAATCAGTGTATAACTGTTAATAAGGCACAGGTTCGCTTCAGTTGCTTCATTAAATATTAAAATCAGATTTATGGATGTTAGGCTTAAATAACTAATGATAACAAAATGCTTAGAAATATAAAACAAGCTAGAAAAAGTTACCTACTTCAACTTGTGCTTGTTGTCTTGCTAAAACAATATTGAAAACATCAAGAGTCTTCTCCAAGTCCTATAAAACAAGAGGACAGACTTTTAAGTAAATGAATGATTAAAAAGACCCAAGAGATGTTTTTAATCAAATGATTTATGTTTATCCAAACAATTTCTTGTCCTTCTACAAAAACTCCAGGAAAATAAAAGTCTACTTTTAGATCAACAATGCTTTAAAAAAAGGGAAAATAAATTCTACAAGGTGATAACCACTTCATTTAAAATAGTTTGAAAGTAAGAATTCTCTGTATGTCTTATCATCGTAGTAAGCTTTCAGAACAAAATTGGAAATACAAATGTTCAAAAAGAAGCTTTGTTTATATGTCATCTATTCGTGCTCATAGCTAGTAAGGTTTGTCTTTGTCCCTCAAATACCATTATTCTTAAATATGATGATCTAACTCCTTCACTCCACCTCAGCCATATACTGGATCTACCATTACCCACAAGTATTCCCCTTCCTTAATTAAAAACTCAGACCTTCCTCTATCTGGCTATAACCTATCACATAATTCCATTTTCCTCTATGCTATACTCCTCCCAAACTCATTCTTGTCCTCATGGGGGCCTCCAATCCCTCCACCTCTCAGTTCTTTCTCAAACCATTACCCTGGCTCAGACTTCATTTCCATCCCTTTCCTATCTTGATCCTATAGCAAAACAATTAAACTCTAAAACTGACTTCTACTCAGAAATGCTTTGTCTTATCACTATTCATTCCTTGCCAAACCTTAGCCTACGGGTTATTTTCACTCTTCCCCTCCTCCACTACTCACAAAGATGAACTGAGCTGGAGGAAAGTATATAACTATACTAATTGGACAGATCATAAATTCACATTATCCAACTTTACTGGAGGTCCACTGATATAAAGCAATTCTTTTATTCTTCTTTAATTGACTGCCTATCTTTTCCCATAAAGCTTTTCCAAACCTTCTCTTTTTTCCCACAAGTCTCCTATAGTTTCCTATCCCTCAGTTGAGGAATTTGACTCTTACTCTTCTAAGCAAACCGAGGTCATTCAAGGTGAGCGCTTTCTTCTCCCCAGTGATTTACCTCCAAACCCCTTACTATCACTCTCTACTCCCTCCTCCTCTTCCCCCAATCTCCATCAATAAGGTAGCCTTTCTCCTTCCCAAAGTCTATATGTGTCTTTGATCCCACTGATCTTAGCTATCCTGTCCTGTCCAGCAGATGGCAACCTCAATTATTCTTCTCCACCCCACTCTGATTCCCACTACCTCCTCACTGCTGTCATCTTTGACATCTCCCTAGTTACTGGTTTCTTCCCTACTGCCTTCAAGCATATCCAAGTCTCCCTCATCTTTATAAAACTTTCACTTCATGCGGTCATCCCCTTAAGCTATATCTCTTGTCCCCTTCTCAGCCAAACTCCTTGAAAAAGCTGTTTGCACTCACTGCTTCCACTTCCTCTCCTCTTACTCATTCTTCAGCCTTTTGCCATCTGGCTACTGAGCTCATGATGAGACTGAATTTGCTCTCTCCAAACTTATCAATAATTTCTTCTCTTCCTTCAAGAAACAGCTCAAGCACCACTTTCTATATGAAGTCTTTCCTGATCCACTTGACAGTTAGTGTCATCCCTCTCAAACTACTTTGCATTTTATTTGTATTTATTCTAATTATATTTTATATGTATAATTTTCATGTCCTTGTTGACTGCTCTGTCAAAAAAGAAGCATTGTTTCATTCATTATATTTATATTCCTAGAACCAAACACAGTACCAGGAAAATAGCAGATGTTTGATTGATTATTAACTCTATTCCCTTCATAAACAAAACTTTATGGACTTTAATATCTTTGATAATTTATTAGAACATGGACATAAGCAAAAAACATAAATTGATTTGGGGAATCAAAAAATACCATAGGAGTGAATATTCTCTCGTCTCCCTTTTCAAAAGTCTAAAAGACTGAGGATTCAATTCACAGTTCACATGATGAATCAGTGGCAGAACTGGAGATTGGATTGGGAGGATTGGAGCCCAGGTTCCACGACCCTGAGCAAACCATTATGTGTTTCAGTTTTTCTGTCTTCAAGCTGCTAAACTATGGAAATATCACCTGTTATATCAAAATGCTGATGAACTCTATTTTTAAAATTGAAAAAACATTTGAGTTTCCTGGAAGAAATACATAATATTAAATGTAATTATTACTATATTGCTACTTTTATTAGCAATAATAAATAAATTAGCAAAAATAGCAATAATAATAAATAATTAATAAAATTAGCAAAAATAAATGATGGAAAAAATTTGAATGTGAATGTGAAAATCAGGTTTTTTTCTGCAAAACAGCACATGCCAAAATTAATATGCTATTAAAATGACATATAATTCAAAGTTCACAAAGTTCACATTCATCAAAATTTGTTTTTAGATCAAAGTCACTAACAAAAAGAAATCAGGGCTTCTGACTTAGAAGTCAAATAGATTCATATGTAAACCCACATTTTCCTTTAATCATTAATCAAGACATTGTAAAACAAAGCCAATTATAAATAAGTAGGAAATACCTGAATTTCATTTTGTACTTCTTCTGTGATTTTACTCTGGGTTAGTTTATTTTTGTATGCGTTTTTATAACGCTTGAGAAACTGCCTGTGCCTTTTTATATTATTCCAAGACCACATCCGTGTATATCGTCTTACGTGAACTTCAAGAATAGCATCAATTGCATACTTCCACCTGTAAATAAGATTTTGTTCATAGAAAATCTGAAGATTTACAAAGGAAATACATGAAAAACTAGATGAAATTTACCTCAGTAACAGTATTACAAATACCTACTAGATTTCACTCAGCTTAAAGAAAATCCAGTAAAAACACTTCATGTAACTTCAGTGGACCCCTCACTCCTATGAGAAATCCTTTCCTTCAACTTTTACTGTCTCCCTATTGTACCTTCCAAAGCCACTATTTCTGAAATCCCCTTCTCCTGGTTTCAGAAAAACCTGGGAAGACTTGTATAACTGATACAGAATCAAGTGAGCAGAACCAGAACAATTTTTACAATAACAACATTGTAAAGACAAAAAAGCTGTGAGACTTAAGAACTCTGATAAACACAATAACCCTCTATTTCCAGAGAACTAATGATGAAGCATGCTACCCAATCACATTGCTTGCCTTCTCAATGGATGGAGGAAGAGCTAGGGGGAGGGAGGGAAGAAATTTGGAACTAAAAATTTTTTTAATTAAATTTTTTTTAAAAGCATGTTATCTACCTCCTGATGCAGAGGTGATGGATTCAAGGTGAAAACTGAGACACACACACACACGCGCGCATGCACACACATGTGTTTATGTGTGTGTGTGTGTGTATATGTATTTTGTGGACAAAGTCAAAGTGGAAATTTGTCTTGTTTGACTATATATATTTGTTACAAGGGTTTTGTTTTTCTTTCTTTTCCAATATAGAAGAGAGGGAGGAAGCAGGGGGTGGGGCGGAGGTGGAAGAGAAAGACAATGGGTGTCTGCTCATTAAAAAAATTAATTAAAAAAAAAGAACACAAAAATTCCCATTCTCACCCCCAATTCAGAACATAAGTCTCCCTGAACTAAGACAGAAAAAAAAACACTGGATGCAAATTCTCCCTTCCACATCTCAAAATTTATCAGTATCTTCATGTATATTCTTCTCCTTCCCTTTTTAAGAACTCCTTTTCCTACTCTCCTCATCTAAATCACTCAGACATTCCCCTATTCCCTCCTTCATGCCAGTCTCTGACAAAGTTAACTCTTCTACTTCCCAAGGCCCTCTACATATACCCCTGATCCCATATGATACTATCTACTCCATCAGATTATGCCCATCATCATCATCCTGTCCTCTTAATCTTTCTTCTCTCCCAATTTTATTCCTTCCCTAATCCCTACAATCAAGTCCTTGTCTCCCCCCATGAGCTTTCTCACATGCCTGGAAGGATCTCTCTCCTCATCTTTACTTCTTAATGACCCTGGTTTCCTTCAGAATTCAATTGAAATGCCATCTTTTGCAGGAGGGCCTTTCCCACCTCCTCCAGCTACTAGATATTCTCCTTTTCAGAGCACCTTCCATCTAGTCTGTATATACTTATTTACAGGTTGCTTCCCCTAATTCCCATTAGAATTTAAGCTCCTTGAGAGCAGGGGCCATTTTTGCTTTTATATTCCGATAATATAGCTTGGCCAAAAGGAATCACAGGTAAGTCACTCAGTATATAAATATTTATTATGTGCCAAGCACCCCATAATTATCCAATCTGACTCTATCCTGCTTTTTGCTCGATTCCCTACCCTACATCGTTCATCCCTTCCTTTATGCTTGGCACAAACTACGTGCTTAATAAAGGTTTACCAACTAAGAGACTTTCTGTCTCCACTCCTGGCACAGCTAACAATATCATCTGATTCCCTATTCCCATTCTCTCCTCCTTCTTTTGGTGCTTTTGCTTATTATTATACACATTCTATAACCTCTGAGGGAAGGGATAGTTATGTTTTATCTTATGTTTAGAAATAATAGACATTTAATGCTTGTTGAATTGAAAGCACAGAGATAAGAGAGGTAATGACACAAAAGGGATGAAAAATAATTTGGCTGGAAAAAAGCCTGTAAGACAAAGCTACAAAGACTGGCTAATGTCAGTTTGTGGAAAGTCTTGAACTGCCAGGAAAAGGAGGCAATGAGGAGTCATTAAAAGTCATTAAAGTCATTTTTTATCTAAGGCATGATTAGAATAGATGATAATAGTGCAAAGAATGGACTGGGAAAGGGTTTGTGTGGAAGATGATGTTAGACTGTATTTATAATAAATACTCAGTATCTACTATATACAAAGCACTTTCTCTCTATATATATGTCTATCTACCTATCTAGACATACCTATCTATTTATATATCTATAATATATATCTATTTATATATATATATATAGATAAATATCTATATCTATTTATAGATAGATATATCTAGATAGGTAGATCAATAGACAGACATATCTACATAAGCAGATATATGTCTACGTAATATATCTATAGATAGATATAACTAGAGAGAAAGATAAAATGTAGTCCCTGTCCTCAAGGGGAAGAAAATAAAATAACTTTTATAATCATGCATTACAGTTAATTATATGTAACAAGTACCAAAACAGGTAGAAAGAGCTAAAATTTTTCAGAAGAGCAGATATTTAACTTGAGGTTATAAGAGAAAGTAATACAAAAGATCTGAGGAAGGTGTTGAAGGATAAGTAGGAGGTCAAAAGATGGGGTAGACAGCATTTCAAGTAAGAAACTGACACAAATAGAGGTACAGAATTAGGAAAGTACAAGAAATAAAGAGTCTAAACTGGTTTCATGGGAAAAGAACTGTTGGAAAGCTAGTCTGAACTTATTAAATATGTGTATTAAATTACATATATATGCACTCCCCATATGCTTCATTAGTATCCATGCTATGTGAAGAAACTGAGAATAAGGCCCCAAACAAGCTGGGTGGATCCCGTTGTGGAAGATCTATGGCTGATATGATAAAGGCATATAGGATGAAAAGATGTGTATAGGTTGAGATCTACAAGTTGAAAAATGCTCACCTACTACTGGAGGAAGAACCCACAACAAACAGATCACAGATACATTTTTAAATGTCCATAACATCCTGATAACTATAATAATTTTCTTTTTCTAGAATGAATTAAAGGATAAGCTTCCAACTTACCACTGCCGACCATTGGTATGTAATGGTAAATAAGGTCTATATTTCCTGTATGGAGCACTCCTAACCATATAATCCACTGATTCCAGAAGATCAATCATACTAAGGTACTATCAAAACAAAAACAAAACAGTAATTATATGATCATTTACCTATAGATAAGCACTAAATTTTATTCTGCAGAAGCCAAGCCAATTTCCCAGATACACATCTGACCCTCCACTATGGTCCTATCCTGTCAAGTAGGGTTCCAAAAGGTGTGCTGGGAGAAGGCAAGCTCTGCTATGTTCCACCAAACTAAAAAGGCTGCAGGTAAAAGTCCAGCATTGCATTGTATACCTGATGTCTAAGGACCCACCAAGTTTATAAAAGCTAAGCTTATAAAAATTCATCACCAAAAGGATGGCTAAGTGATTAATTTTCTGAAGACTTACAAAGAGTTTTTTAATCTGCATTAAGAGAATACCCCCACCAGTAAAATCATGCACCTCTGAAGTGTAGGCGTCATCGAAGCCTAGTGAAATAGGAACAGAACTACAACTCCTCAGTAGGTCCCTTAGCCTTCCTCCTCAATTTCTCAGAACCTATCCTTATAATCCCACCCAGAACAAACAGCTGGTTTCTAAGCAAGAAAACTTCTTCAAAAAAATTCTACCTGCATGGCTTCTCCCTATCATCAAAGGTCCAATATTTAATATTTCACAAGTGCTCCTACTTCTAAAAGGTTCAAAACATACATGAAACAAAATTTTCTAGAAATTTTCATTAATAAGTAGGAAAAGATGAGTATGTAGTTTGCTAATAATCTACCAAGATCCACCTTTTAAGAAAAGGTTACAATAAATAATAATTTACTGAGTCTCATTTTTTAAAAATATAAGAAAACACATAAAATTTCTATTCAAAATATTCAAAGCTACATTCAAGATGAAGGCATAGGAAGTAAGGAATCTACAACTGATTAAGAGCAAAGAAATACCCAACTACCTCTTACCTGGGGCTTGGTCAATTCAATAGCAATGTTCTGTACTTCTACGTTGCAATCAAGTTTGGGTGTTTTGAGTTCAGTTTCCGCATGAGGATTTATACAGAGTTTTGCAGAGGCAGACACTGGCCTGAAAACTTACATAACACATAAAGTCATAAGATATTTATACAATTGTAAATAAGCTATTGGATACAATAATATGGAATAAAATGGTAAATTAAATGCTACTTAGACTCCAAGATGAAAATTACAAAAATAGACTGCCACTATCCTCAAAAAGTATCTATGTACCCACTCTATTTACACACGACCCTGAAACTACAAATGATTTTGTAGTAAGCTACAGGAAAAGGAAAAAATATTGCGGACTTCTGTGGCTTCAAATCCCTGGCACACTGGGTAGACCCCCTGAGGAAAAATTACAGGAGAACATGGAAAAGTCACACAAGACAGACAGGCCATAAATGGCCCACAATGGTCATAATCGGAGAAAATATACATACTGATGGGATCAGAGTCATCTGGGTATATGAATGGCTCCAAATGGAAACTATATAAACATATGGACATATAATTAACTCATTTAATTTTCTGTTTTGATGCTACCTACCATTTTGCCATTTACTGTTTAACTATTCATTGTGTTAAGTTCTATCCAAGGGGAAATAATAAATAAAGCAGAATTCAAGTCAATCTCCAATAAAACTTAGAAATAAGATCATAAATAAAACTGTTACGTTATACAGAAATCCTTGAAAAATTAATTCGATACAGAAAACAGGATTTAAAAGATTTGCTATAAAACATGTCAACTACTGACTTGTCTAGAAATTAACTATATGTCACAATTCATTATTTTAGATACCCTATCCTATTGACAATCTGCTTCCATCAGATATCTTGCCAAAGTTGCTAAAATCAAACAAAAATTTAAACTGACAATCAGCATATCTACAGAATGGCAATTCATTAGAAATCAAAATATAGAATTTTTAAAAGGACAATTTCAATAATTAAAAAATAAAATTTAATTTTTAAAAAATTATTTGCTATTTTTCACTCATGGTAGAAAACTCATAATGTAATTCACCATATAGTTAAATTGGAATAAAGTTCTGAGTTTCATAATCTGGCAACTCTTTAAGGCTGATCCCTCTGGTTTCCACTTTAAAGGCAAACTTGACATTGGGAAAATCACATGCATCTTTCATTTTAAAATAGCAAAAGGACAAATTATTCAATATAGTATATTGCTAGATATTATTTCTCAAAGCTAAAAAGAGATGGTACTAAAGACAGTGCACCTGTCAGGCTCTACTTTTAGTCCTACTCTTTCAGTTTTTAAGAACCAAAAACCCTAGAAATGTCACCTGTAATCATCTAGTCCAACCCATTCCTGAACAAGATTCTTCTCTATTATGAAGTGGTCATCTGGTCTTTGCTTCAAGTCTTTTGGGGAGTGGGGAGGGGGTTGTACAGAAGGGTGTCAGTCGTAGGTCCAGCTTCTGGTCCTCCCTAAGACCAGGAGAGTCCTAGAGACCTTCAGGACTATGAGTAGAATCTACAGCTCCTGAACCTGATTGTCTGGCTACTCTCCTGCTCAACTGTAATAAGCCTGTGTCTGGAAAAATTGGATTACTGAACCCCCTCCAAATACCCTCCAAAAAACTGGGAATGGATCAGGTAGTAGGAATTGTTTTTTCTGCCTGAAAGCAGACCCTCTTCCCCTGTCCACCTCCACACCCTCTATGGAGAAAGGGAAAAAAAGACAGGAGAATGATATTAGGCAGGGGTTCAGCTTTTGGGAGACAGGCTACAGTAGTAGTCAGTTATTGGCTACCATCACCCTCTCCTCCAGTTTTTTCCCTGAAATATGATTACTAGCCTTAAAATGTCATCATCAGA